ACAAGTGGGTTAGTTTGTTATAAGCACCTTTCACTGTGAGGCACACAAGTGGGTTAGTTTGTTATAAGCACCTTTCACTGTGAGGCACACAAGTGGGTTAGTTTGTTATAAGCCTGTCTCTTATACACATCTCTACGGCAACCGGAACCTAATGCGGACATAGAGCTTCTAATTTACCCGGCCATAAGAACTTGGGGCGTCCGTGTGCCAGCGGCTGACAGGTCTTCGAATTTCGATAGGGTTTCGCCTTTGAGTTGCCAGAACTGGAGTGGTAACGTTATCGCCTTGAAATTATCCTTTGAAAATTTTATCAGCTGCTTCACCTCCATCACCTATAATCTATCACCGGAATTGAAATAATGCCGCCTACCACGAATAAAATGAACCTAAAAGTCTTGTAAGTCTCAAACAAAGGTTGGCTAGAATGTAGCTTTATTCAACTAAATTATCACCTGTAAAGAGAAGACATGCAAACATTAATACCAGCATGTTCCTAACACTAAACTCTGAAATTTATAGGCAAATTTCACATCAACGAGTTAGTAGGAATATCCATCTTACTCGCAACATTTTACAGCCATTGAGTGATGCTGGCGGCCGACAAGCCGATGAGGGTCACACTTGTAGACCTTCTCTGCCAGCTGACGTCAGGTGCACGAGTGCAGCTCCGTGGGGTTGGTGCAGCTCCGCGGGGTTGGTGCAGCTCCGTGGGGTTGGTGCAGCTCCGTGGAGCTCCTGGGCGTAAATTATCTTAAAATTCTCTACAACGGAAAAGTATTAACAACATTAATTCGGACATAAGTGAATAAAAGAGTTACCCTGAAGTAGCTGCGTTTGCCGGCCCATATGGCACATTAGTGACACGTTCCATTAATTGAAAATCAACACAAGGTTTTCCTCTAGAGAATTGAAGGAAGTTAAACTTATTACTAGAATATTTAACTCGACGACTTCAGTCTTGACACTCATATTGACTTCAGCGACGTCTTGACTTCAGCGACTTCAGCCCGGCCACTTCTCGCCTGATAACTTTCGAAATTCAAGTCTAGCATACACCATTTACAAAAAATCCTATGGATTTACATTTTGTTGTCATCATCACATTTGTTTGAGCAAAAAGTATTTAATACTTCGATATTTGTTTGTTGAATAGCCCTGAAGATTTACAGTCAGTCATATCACCAAATTGGTATTTATATTTTTCGGATGTGTGGAAAAAATTTCCCGCAGTTTTACAAGAAGGGAAAGGAGATCAACGATGACCGAGTTACTTCCCTTCCCATTGTTTTTATACCTCAATAGTTTTAAATGGTTATCTAGCAAGGACGCAGTCATTCAACTGATGTACACTAAAATTCTAAGTTTTGAGGTTAATTCATATAATCAATGAGAAAGTTTATTGCACTATAGGGGACGGATTGGAAGGATAGCGTGAAAGCTGTTTGAGGTTCTGGCGCTAAGGTCAAACTTCGGTTGAAATTTTCATCTCATGTGTGATTTCCAATACAACGACAGTTTGTTAGAGATTTTTCTCATGATTATACGGTCTTCAAAAAAGTGAAAGTTAAATAGTAATTATTCTCTTAACCATAGTCAAGTTATTCGGATGGCGAAACTGGATGTATTGAATCGGAATGATATGAAGACAACAAATATGTATTATTAATATGAGGAATCCAGACGATCCATCCAAAGTTTAATCCATCATTATCAATATTTTAATCGTAAGAAACCAATATCATTGCGATTTGTTTTGTTAGATTTGTTGTCAAAATTCTTGGCCGAAGTTCAATTGCATTCAATTTAAATTATGCATTGATTAGACTCTGACATGTATCAGGCGTTCCGCCGAAGCAGATGTGTTCATTCAAGGTCGGTCAAACGATCAATAGCGCCGCCGTCAAGAAGTTGTTTGCGTTCGGTTGACTGGCAACCGAACGACAAGTGCAATTTGTGCGTCAATACGTAGCACTTTTAACAAAGACTCTGTCCACTGCGCTCAGCTCGCTCGTGGTGAACGGTCGTACGAGTCGTGTGGAGCGCAAGTGGAGAGTGTTGTTCAGCTACGCAAGTGGGGAGTGTATTTCAGCTACGCAAGTGGGGAATGTTGTTCTGCTACACAAGTGGGGAGTGTTGTTCTGCTACGCAATTGGGGAGTGTTGTTCTGCTACGCAAGTGGGGAGTGTTTTTCTGCTACGCAATTGGGGAGTGTTGTTCTGCTACGCAAGTGGGGAGTGTTTTTCTGCTACGCAATTGGGGAGTGTTGTTCTGCTACGCAATTGGGAAGTGTTGTTCTGCTCAGCCTGCTGTTCTTTACGATAGATACGCTCGCCGAGACTCGGGTATCTTTTGACATCAGTCTCAGGTACTTAGTGTCTATTTCTTTTGTGTGTATTTATATTTTTGTAGTTTGGCAGAAGTTCTGCATTTATACAGGTTTGATCGAAGACCAAGGAATGTTTTCTATTAAAAATTTTCTTATTTTATTCAATAAGCCGAACAAAATTTTTCGCTTGTGCTGGGAGACCAAAAAGCAGGTTACCAAATGACATTTTACTGGAATACTGCATTTCGAACATTTAATATTCTTTCGATATTATTAAGAGTTTTCCAACACTTGAAATTTGAAATAATTTGGAAATGACATAAATACGTACAAAATGTATCGTAGATACGGTTTGAAATTAAAACTTAAAATTAATCCGAGAATAATTTCAACGACCTGAAGAATCCGCTGGCTTGCAAATTGATAGCAGGAGACTCGTCCTTGATGATGAGAGCCTCCGCTATCGACAGTCTCGTAGCGTCTGAGCACCGCATGACGATGCTGGTGCAGGCTTGGGGCACCGCATGATGATGCTGGTGCAGGCGTCCAACGATGCGCGGGTGATGGTTTCGCTGTGGGCCTCCCGCTTATGGTTCTTAGATCCTTCAGTTTTTAGATGGCATATATTCATACATGAATATATGCATATGCAAGGCCCTTAATATTAATCTATGCGAATTCAATAGTCTTCAAGTGAGAAATAAAAATGAAAGTTTGAGAAATACAGGCATATATAATTGGATATATCGTCGTTCTTCTCAATAAGTGAATAGACTAGGTAGCAAAATATCTATATCTAATTAATACAGCTAATTTCAATAAGGTGCTCATATAATGTAATTTTCACGATAAAACAGGTACAATGTAATCCATTCGTACATCAAAGTGATGTCAACGTTGATTCAATTCCAAATCAACCTCTTATCAACGCTGAAATGTAACGTCAAGACGACGTTGCAATAATGACATTGATTAAATTTTCATATATGACTAGAATTCAACATGAATACAACTTCGTGAATGGGCGTTGCTTTAACGTTGATTCAATCAGAAAATGCGCGCTGAGAAGAGCGTTCAGGTTAAGTTTTTCAGCGATGTCGTTTCAGTTACGTCTTGTTTTGTTCATGTAATTGCGTCTTGTTGTTTTGTGTCTTCTTTCTTGCACGGACTTGGCGTCACTGCGAAGTGGAGCGCTTGAGAAGGGGACTGTTTTAAAGGTAATTTGGGATATTTTTCTTTCGTTTGTTGGTATTCTGGGGTCCATTTTTCCTCTTAGATCCGGTAAGTTTGGGATCTCGAGCGGTCAATTGGTGATGATTGATAAATTTTTGCAGATTATGGTGAAGGTGGGCGATGCGCTGATGACGGCAAATATGGTCGTTAAGAGAGGTTGGTGCCCTTAGCTCTCTTGGACACGTCCATCGGGTTCAGGTCGTTGGGAAGGGGCGAGTGGGCATAGAAATGGAGGGAGGGGAGCGAAAACGCAGGTATTTGATGTGGGTGCAGTCATGTGTACAAAATATTAGGAAGAATATACAGGCCAAATAGTAGGGTCGCCTTAGTTCCTCGTGACACGCTCACACGGTTAGAATGCAGCTAATCCAAATGGGTAGGAGGCTGCAAGTTCAAGTATGAGCGAACACCAAACTTTGGCGAACAATAATGATCACGGGGAATCGTCATCGGAGAGTGCCGGTAGCAACAAGATAACTATAACTCCCACTCTTTGAAAGATGCAAGCATGTCCACGTGCTGAAGCCGCAGCAGCAGTAGTGAAAGCTATAGGGGGTGCAAGTGCTCATGCCTGATCAACGTGAGGACGCAGCTAGATACCAGCTAACCACACACACGCTCCCATGCAGCTAGGACGCGTTCGAAGAAGTGATGTAGGTCCCGTCTTCAGAGGAGGCCTAAATAACACTTACTGTTAACATCAGGTTTTTTGGAATATAACTTAAAAGATATATTTCAATGTTTGAATCATTGTAAGATGTTTTAATCATTGTGAGATGTTTGGGTCATGTATTGAGGTTTGCAGTGCTGTTGCCGCTGACACTGCGCTGCAGCTGCTTGGACAACTTTGGACAACTTCGACCAGACCGACCTGCGAGGTACAACGAAAATGTCAAAATTGTGTGTTGTGTGCACTTGCGTACTGAGCTCAATATGCTACAGAGTTGAAGGGTTTATGCGATTACTCATATTTTGTATCGTACAAGGTCATAAATTGTTCGAAGGTGATAAGAAGAAAGGGTAACTGATATGAACGAAAAAGCATGCAAAACTAATTTTTGCACAATACTTTATTTTCGACGTAATCAAAGCTAAAGTGAAGAGAAAAAACTCAGGTATCTCACAATGATTCATTCTAACGCCTATTTGAATCACTGTGAGATGTTTGAATCACTGTGAGATGTTTGAATCATTGTGATATGCTTGAAACATTGTTGGACGTTTGAATCATTGTGAGATGTTTGAATCATTGTGAAACGTATGAATCATTGTGATATGTTAGAATCATTTATGAAATGTTTCAATCATTGTGAGATGTTTGAATCCTGTAAGATATTTGAATAATTGTGAGATGTTTGAATAACTATGAGATGCTTGAATCTTTGTGAGATGTTTGAATCATTGTTGGACGTTTGAATCATTGTGGGATATTTGAATCACTGTGAGATGTTTGAATTATGGTTGAGATGTTTGAATCATTGTGAGATTCAAACATCTCACAATGATTGAAACATCTCATAATTATTCTAACATATCACAATGATTCATACGTCTCATAGGGTCTGGGCAGGGTGGCCCAGTGGTTAAAGTTCAGAGTACCAGCATTGGAGCAGAGAGTCACAGGTTCGATCCCAGCTCTGTGCGCCAGTTTCTGGTCAGAATCGGCAAGGAGGCCGGGCGGTTAAGCACAGCAGAATTGTAGAAGTGAGTTGCGCGTTCGAGACCGCAAAATGCTGTGTATGTTCTGCGATGTTAAGAATCGGCGACAGGCCTACGGCCTAATAAACGCTGAAACCGCTATTATTATTATATTATTATTATAATCATTGTGAGATGTTTTAACCATTGTCATTGTAAGATGATTGTAATCATTGTAAGATTTTTAATCATTTTGAGATATTTGAATCATTGTGAGATGTTTGAATCATTCCGAGAAGCTTGATTCACTCTGAGATGTTTGAATCATTGTGAAAAGTGTGAATCGTTGTAAGATAAATATTTAGTTGTGAGATGTTTCAGAGGGCTGTTGCGTAGGCATCCGGCGTTATCTGTTGCCCTTATAGCCGTTATCTGCAGCCCTTATAGCTGTTATCTGCTGCCCTCATGGCCGTTATCTGCTGCCCTCATAGCCGTTATCTGTTGCCCTCATAGTCGTTATCTGCTGCCCTCATAGCCGTTATCTGCTGCACTCATAGCCATTTGATTGCATTACACAACACCCTGGACAAGCCAGGTACTCATTTATCAACCAGAGTTGGATGAATGGCTGAGTTGACCATGAGCTGAGCTTCCCTGCTGAACTTGTCCTCAGTGGGACTCGAACTCGGGAGCTGGGTGCGAGAGACAGAGTCTCATTATCTGCTGCCCTCATATAGTCGTTATCTGCTGCTCTCATAGCCGTTATCTGCTGCATTCAATGCGTTATTTTAACTACTCAGCACTATTTTAGGAACAAGTTCAATTTTCCCCAATAGTTTTATTGAGGCGTTTGACTGTTTCTGATTGTTCACCGCCTTAATTTATTGAATAAAATACCGCTCACATGGTTAAATTACAGCACTTCTAACCCTTGAATGCTGGTAGCCTTCTTTAATGCCTGCTTTATTGCAACACTTCTCCCCTGGACTGCTGGTAGCCTTCTTTAATGCCTGCTTTATTACAGCGCTTCTCCCCCTGGACTGCTGGTAGCCTTTTATGCCTGCTTTATTGCAGCACTTCTCCCCCTGGACTGCTGGTAGCCTTCTTTAATGCCTGCTTTATTACAGCACTTCTCCTCCTGGACTGCTGGTAGCCTTCTTTTATGCCTGCTTTATTGCAGCACTTCTCTCCTGGACTGCTAGTAGCCTTCTTTAATGCCTGCTTCATTGCAGCACTTCTCCCCCTGGACTGCTGGTAGTCTTTATGACCTCACCCAACTGGTATAGTCTGTTACGACCTGGTGTCAGTCACTTTAATACTATGAGCGATGTTAGTGTCCAGCACCAATAAACATTTCAGTGAATGGTTGACACGCCAATCAAATGAACTGAACCGTAGGTGAGAGATGTTTGCTTAGAATGTGGGCTGTGATACATAATAATTCATCCGTGTTACCAAACTCGTATTTCGTGCGCAGGGTTAACGGCAAGATGACAGCCCCGGTAGCTGCCCCCAAGTCTGCTTCCAACTTCCAGGAATTGGAAACGTATCTAAGGAACGACCATGGCCATGGAAAAATAGTCCAATGCCTTAGGAAACTTCTGAACGTAGTATGCAGCGATAAGGGCCCTGAAGACACATACAGAGCCTACTTGGAGAGGCATCACGGCAGTACCCTTGAACTTGTGCTGAAGAAAAAGTGGAGGCTCCCACACGAAGATTTAGACAGCAAAACTCCCGAAAACATGGACATTACGCTACTATATGCACTCTTTAAAATTCTCGTCGAAGTTAAAAATGATTTTAGAAAAACCACAAAATTTATGAAAAAATTGACAGCAGTCAGAAAAGTTGGAAACGATCTTTTGCATTTAAAAATATCAATGAAAGATCTAAAATTATATGATGAAGTCGCCCCAAAAATGGCAGAGCTGTTGGATGAAGCTAAGAAGCTTTACCCCTCTTCCATCACTGAGATAATCTCCATAGGGAAAGAGATACAACATGACATAAAATGCGGGTTTTCACCTGGTGGGAGAGATCTGGCTTATAACTGCTACTGGGTCGCCACAAAGGGTAGGCAAATTGTCAATCAACGTTTCCAGGAGTACGCAAAAGAAGATCTGCTTTTCGACGCTGGCTGCGTTGAAAGGCTGGCTGTGTTTCATCAACTCGAAGTGACGTCAGAGGAAGAGGAAAAAAACGAACTTACGCTTGAGCAGTTATTTGTTTCACTGAAAGAAAGAATCGCAATTGTTTCTGGCGTTGTTGGTGCTGGAAAGACCACCCTACTCATGTACCTAATGCTACAGTTTTCTGGTCCTCAGTCTGCCATCCCAAATCATCTCCAATGCTTTGAAATCGTCGTGTTCATTCAGTGCAGGGACAGATATAATAAAAATTTAAAGGAAGTTGTCGAGGAGCATTTTGGAGCTTTGTGTGCGGACATGACAGCAGAAGATATTCTGCTAACTCTACAGCAGCTCCGCGTGCTGTTCCTGATCGATGGATTCGATGAACTCAACGAAGTATCGTCGGCTGTGTTGCACGAGCTGTTGGATAAAACATGGCACCAGGGCTCCCGCATCCTCATTACGACTTGTCCTCAGGCTGTCGAGGACCTCAAGAACTTGTTGAGAAATAAATGCAAGGTTTCAGAGGAGTATAAGATTTTACAAATCTCAGAGCTTCGAAAACAACTGGATTTTATCGAAAAATATGGATTATATCTGACCAAGAGCAGTGATGCCGCACTAGCGATGCGCGAACGATTTTCCAGTCTAAATCCGAAATTGCAATCATTATTCACACAGCCAATTCTTTTGCTGTACTTCTGCTCTATTTATAAAGAGACTCCAGAAAAAATTGACCATTGGAGAAGCTTAAACGACTTATCAATGGACAGATTTGAGCTTCAAAAGATTGTCATGAAAAGAAAGCTGAGCGATAAGGGAGTGAATGACCCAGACCTTCTCATTGACAAAATTTTGAGAGTCATTGGCAAGTGGGCGTTGGAGTTCCTTGCCTGCAATCATGTTACCTTCACCTGTGCCGATATCTTGATCTTGAAAGAACCGTGTAGCGACAAGATAAAAGCTCACACCTCCGTCGTCGAAGTAGGCACTGAAGTGTTCCTCAATATAATGCTTGTAGTGGAGAAATCGCCGTCAGGGACCAGGGACACGACTTATTCTTTCCCGCACAAGTCCGTCCAAGAGACAGTGGCAGCAAACTATGTTGTTAGGAAGATGATGCTCACTGAAGATACTCTTCAAGAGATCCTGGGAGTTGAGCCGACAAAGAACGCAAGGTAGGCCAAAAAGCATTGCTAAGTGCTCATAGCGGCTTAAGTGCAGCGTAAGTCCGATAGGTGCGCGTCACTCCAAATGATGGTACCTTCAAAACATTTTGGGGTACGTTAAGTGCAATAAGATGAACGTAACTTTGCGCCGATTCAAAGGTCGCGTAAGTGGAGTTACGATCAACTTTTGAGTGAGTGAAGCGATTTGTAATCGTTTAGTTACTAGTGTCTAGTCTGTAATAGAGTCTGGACTAGTGGATCATACTAGTGTCCAGACTCTAGTATCATATTAAGGTAAATCCTCTAATTTTTATTCAGAAAAATATCCTTATTTCGATATTTAGGAAATTTTATTAGTCATGCATGCAGAAAATTTTTTTTAGTACATGTCAACAGAAAACGAATCTGACGGGTGAAGCTAAAAACGAATTCACAAAATTCTATTCTCGCTTTTCGTTATGTCGTATTAATCATTAAATACAACTTTTGCTATCTTGAAACGGCATTTGTCATTAAAATTTTAGATTAAAAGCGTCGAGAATTCTTTAAGAAGAGCGCAAATGTTTAAATAATTGAACATAGAATCATGGCGTCATGTGACTCATAACGTAAACAAAGCATGTAAGCCAGCTTGTGATTGGCTGAGAGCCGGAGTGTTTTGAAAGTACGCCTTTAGCTAAATCGGTCGTACGAAAGTTATGAAGGTGCGAAAAGTCGCTGATCGTACGCTAGACGTATCTTCTTGAGCTTAAGTTCAAGAAGTTACGTCTGCGGCAGGTTACTGGAGGTGGTAAGTTACCGAAGGTTACTAGTTGATGGTAATGCGGTAGGTACCAGAGTTATAGGTATCGATGCTTTGAGTCTAGAGCAGTGGTTCCCAAAGTGGGCGATATCGCCCCCTAGGGGCGGTAGAAAGATTTTAGGGGGCGGTAAGGAAGATGAGGGCAGTAGGGGGGCGATAGGGGGGCGGCAGCCCGAAGTCGATGTCAGAAGTTCGAACGTTTGTTTGACGATTTGTACACAACACGTGCAACACATGCCTCCCAGCGATGGTTTTGTCACCTAGATCTGTTTTTTAACCTCTCGATCCTGGGTGTACGTCTCGGACAAATTAACGGCCGGACTCGCGGCCGGTCTCACGGCCAATTTCCAAATTCAATGATCAAGGAATTTCTCTCAAACTAATGAACTTAACTCGATTCAACTTAGTACACGAATTCATTAGGACCTAACGATAATGTTCAGCTCGTGAAAATTGTTTGAATTTTTCCATCGTTTGTTTTTGCCATAGTTATATGGGAATACGGGCCGAAATTCACAGGGATCAAGTAATCAGTTTCGAGTTCGCGAAACTGATTACTTGATCAGTTACTGATTACTACAGAAAAAAATTCGCCTTCGTTTGCGAGTTTTTTTTTCATTTCACCTTCATTCATGATTTAAACAGCAATACGTGTTTAAATTCGCGGTAGGCAAGAAATTTTTTCCAAACTGCTGAACAGATTTTAACGAAACTTAGTATTTAAATACCTAATATCAGCAACGGTGATGTTCAGCTCGTTACAATTTTTTCGTTTTGCCTTCGTTTGTAAGTCATACGGCTGTACGTATACAGCTCTTGGTTAAACCGGCCGTTATAGAAAAGACGGTCGTTCCTCTTATATCTGTATAACTCGCGAACGAAAGCAAAATAGAAAAATTGTCATGAGCTAAACATCACAGTTGGGAGGCTAGGTAATTATATACAAAGTTTCGTTGAAATATGTTCTGCAGTTTAGAAGAAATTTCTTGATCGCCGCGAATTTAAGTGACAAATTACCCGGTGAAATGGGCCGAATATAAGGAAGTGTGAAATCAAGAATGATGGTGAAATGAAAAAAAACTCGCAAACGAAGGTAAAATCGACAAAAAATTTATAAAATAAAAAATCACCGTTTGGTAGTTAGGAATGTATAATCAAAATTTCGTTCAAATCTGTTCAATAGTTAGGAAGAAATTCTTTGATCACTGCGAATTTCGGCCTGTTTCGTAATATACGCGTAACGCACGAATGAAGGTGAAATAAAAAAATTACGAGCTAAACATCACCGTTAGGTTCTGATGAATACATGTTTCAAGTCGCATTGAGCTGCGTTCATTAGTTTGGGAGATATTACTTGATAATTTAATTTGGCGATTGGTCGTGAGACCGGTCACGAGTCCGGCCGTAAATTCGCTCGAAAAGTCCTAGGTTTCTAGTGCTGAAACAGTTAAAACAGCTAAAAAACTTATTTGTTTACTAAACATTTGTGTTACATTTGTGTTTAACCTTTCTCTTTAAAATTGCAGCGTACTAAATTTCAAGAAAGAGGTGTATGTCTGTGGGGGCGCTAGAAATTCACTAGGGAGCCAAAGGGGGCGCCAGCCTGAAAAAGTTTGGTAACCACTGGTCTAGAGTTATGCGCGCAATCAAAGGACTTGGTAACGCTTTTCTACTTGAAGGGTAATTGGCAGTGGAAGGGTTCAGGCAGTTTATAGGGTGATATTGATGTAAGATAACGTACGAAGTAAAGGCCTGTGAACAAATGTTAGACATTAGAACATGACATGGAGTTATTTTATCAATATCTTCAAAATAGAAATGTCTACGCTGTTCGCATTCCAGCGCCTAAATCCAATTAAAAGGTATTCAACGGTTATTTACGCTCAATATACATATTATTAATTAAATATGCAAAATATCACAATTCCATAACAATTCAAAATACAATTTGATTTAATAGACAAAATATAATTCATTAATCATTATCAATTTAAAATATAATTTAAAAGTTTTATTCCTCGTTATGTCAGTTCCCAATTCATGGTCTAAATTACAGTTCGACCTAAATATTTATGTCGACATCAGATGGCTTATAGGGTTTAAGAATTAACTACAATTATTCAATTTGGAAATTAATATTCCAATTGATAGCTAACAACAATAATCACTTATGAGAATCATTTTGAAAAGAATCAACAACAAGTAATCAATTTGGAATTTAATTAACTAAAATTAATCAATTTGGAAATTAATACTCAATTTGAAGTTAACAACAATAATCACTTATAAAAATCAATTTGAAAAGAATTAACTACCGGATCAATCTCGAGTACCTAAAAGAATCAGCTCGTCATAATAATTACAACCACCAAGCATTTGAATCATGTGACTTTAGACTTCAACTTCCTTCCTTCCTTCTATGAGGCTAGGCAAGACCGGTGGTTTTCAGACTAGCCTCTTGGGGTTAGCGTTGTGGAAAAACCTTCTTCTTTTGTCAATAATTTCAGGACAATTCAGAGATCAATCAATTATATCACCATCGAAATGATTAACTTCAATAGTAAAATACAATATTAATATACTCACCCAGTGGCTATTTGAAATTCATCTAGAGCACCAACAACCGAACAGCACACGCCTCAATTTTGAATAGAACCTCTAACAGCTCCCGAGCTCGATCGATGAGGTTGCCAGAGTCGCGTGGGGAAGGTTTTTAGCTTACTCATATTGTATGATTTACCGAGGAATATTATTTATTATTATCGGGCTTAAAACTATTTTAAAATCGGAACATTTTATAGGTATGGACCGGCCGTGATTTACTGGCTTACGATTACGATTATCTTATTTTAGTTTATTTGTGGTAGCTATCGGCCAAGAAGGTTCACGAGTATCGTCATATTTACGGTATTAACTATGCGACAAAGTACAGCTTTACACCTAATAATCTCAAAGGAATTATAATATCTCTCAGCTTGGAGATTATACACTAGAATATTATCTAGTCACTAGACGTCCACTTAGCAATGTTTGAAAGTAGCTGCCCTGGTTTTGAGACAGCAGCTGCCCGTGCAATAAGATGGGAACTATACTCTCCATGGTTGTGCTCTCTGGCATACTTTCATTTAATTTTATATCGGGCAACTATTTCAATAGCTCTACAATAATTGGTAAACCTGTAGCTCGCATTATCATGTGAATTGCTTGATTGATGGCATTATTGCGTAATTCCTGTGAACAATCTTCATCATTGGTCCTGTTGGTGGACATGGCTAGTCTTTGCAAAATCTAAAAATATTCACTGAGTTGGTATAAATATGTCCATCGAAATGATGAATTAAGCGTTTCCTTTAAACTGCTGGAAAACTATGTGCATACGTAATATATACGTGTATAAATACGTGTATAATGGCTTGTTTCTAATTACTGTTGCATTCGCCCTACTGCTTACTATTGTTCTTACCATCCTATACTTACTATTGTATTTACCCTCTTACTTACTATTTTATTTGTCCTCCTGCTTACTATTGTATTTACCCTTCAGCTCACCATTGTAATTACCCTCGTACTTACTATTGTATTTACCCTAATACTTACCATTGCATTTACCTTCTAACTTACTATTGCAATTTACCCTTCTACCTACAACTGTACGTGTTTACCCTCCAACTTACTGTTGTATTTACCATCCTACTTAGCTGTAAGCCGATCTGATGGCATGAGCTTCATGCCGCTCTGATGGCATGAGCTGCATGGCGCTCAGATGGCATGAGCTGCATGCCGCCCTGATGGCATGAGCTATACAGGTACAGTACAGGTACAGTACAGGTACAGTACAGGTACAGTACAGGTCCAGTACAGGTACAGGTACAGGACTTCCTTACTAGACGTCGACGGGATAGGACGTACGTGTCGCGGACAAGACGTACGTGTCGTACGTGTTTTTCTTTGATGACCAGTTGTTAATTAATTGTACAGACTGGGCCTAAGAGATGTAATTCATTGTTTCGGCGGAAAATAAGGGAAGTCAGTAAAAAAAGATTATAATTTGTTCAGTGTGAAAGCGTTTAGAAAACCACTTTTTTATATTTGAGAAAGACCCGAAAAAATAACAGATACTTAGAATAAAATTATAGCATTCAATACGTGAAGCAGTGAAGTGTTTACATCAAGTGTCAAGTGTTTAAATCACTAAAACAAATATGAGTGTTGAACTGTAGTAAGGGAGGGAAGAAGCAAGTGTGCTTGAAGCGAAGGTATTTATAACTTACTTTCTGCCGAGCCTACAGCGCGGTCCGGCAGCCGAGCGTTCCAAGCCTATACGGTCCTTGCGGTCAGAATCTGAGCTCAGTGTAAGGAAGGATATCCAGTGTAATATTGTAAAATATTGAGTGTAATGGAATAATAAGAAATACAAGGTAAGATGGGTAAATGTATTGTTATGCAACCCCCTCTGGATAGTTCCTGCATAATTTGCAAAGAGCTTTGCGATGCGTCTCTGGTACTGCTATTCAGCAAATGCCAGTCATTCATACATGTAAAATGTACTGATTTGCCGAAATATTGTCTTGTTAGGCTCGATCCAGAGCTTCTTATGAATGTAAGAACTGCGTAATGAATTTTTACAAAAATTTCAAAGAAAGCGAAAAAAACTTATAAAGCCATGAAAGAAAAACTTGAACTGGTGGGTCACATGCTCGGTGTTGCTGGCCACACCTCCCCCTGTGCCACCTCCTCCTCCCTTGCAGCTAACTGTACCCTTGCCTCTTCCCCTAACCCCTTCCCCACATACTTCCTCACTCCTAACGCTGCACCTAACCCCAGCTTTATCCTTGCCCTCAGCCCTTCCAGTGCCCCAACAACTGATCTTGCCGACATTCTTCCTCTGAATTAGGCCCAAACACTAGGAATACATACACCCAGGCTACAGCACTAACCCAGGAGAATGGCAACTTAGAAGACGGCTTGCCATCATCCCTTCCAGCTTTTCCAACCCTTTCAACACTACCACCCTCACCATTCACCCAAGTTGCAGATGCACCCTCAAGTAGACCACCAGCAAAGAAAGGTGTTTGCTGGAAGTACTTGCAAAAGAAATGTGAACACGGGAAAAAGGGCGATGGCTGCAGATTTTCACATCCTAGACTGTGCCATAAATTCTGTACCTACGGAAAAGGGCATCCACGAGGGTGCAAAAAAGGTAGGGACTGCGCGTTCCATCACCCTAAGTTGTGCTGGAGTATTGTGCAGAAAGAAGATTGCACGAATGGAAACTGCAGGTTTCTTCACAGAAAATCGCGGAAGCAAATGGAGGAAGCCGACAGAAGAGGAGGCAGCAATGATTCGCCCCCACAGCGAAGGGCTCCTGCTGGACGCCAGCCTCCTGCCAGCAGGCATTCGGTGGTTAAATCAACTGCGCATTATGACATTGAGATCGGGGTAAAAGGAGGTTTAAAATTAAAATTGAAGCAACATCTTTCATGAAACGTCGTACTGACGTTACAATGCAACGTTGAATCAATGTTGCTACTGCGACGTTGCTGCAACGTTGAATACTCTGGTTGAATCGACGTTGAAACAACTACCTATTACGACGTTGAGATCGCGGTGAGAAGAGGTTTAGAATGAAAAGTGAAGCAATGTCTCTCATGAAACGTCGTATTGACGTTACAATGCAACGTTGAATCAATGTTGCTACAACGACATTGCTGCAACGTCAAATTCTCTGGTTGAATCAACGTTGAAGAACCAACCTTTTTTTTCGTCCTTAGCCGGATTCGAACCCGGGATCGCTGGAGACCGCGCAACGCCTTAGCAACCTTGACCACTGTAGCTCGCGTGCAAGAGCAGAAGAAAGAAGCTGAAGAATTATTCGACTTCTTTTAAAATTGAACTGCATTCTCTGGTCATCAATCGTACACTTATATATATGCATTTCATTCAATGTTAGAGTGATTACATTAGTTCCATGCTGGTAAATAGCTAAACATTCAACGTACCGATATCGACCATTTTTCAAAGTTGAAATAAAGTTGTTTTACATCGTTTCTAGTTTTGGTCAGATTTCGACGTTGATCGGACGTTTATTTTTGGTTGTTCAGTATTTCATCCTGAAATCAACATTGATCCAACGTTTAAAAATTAGTGTACATTCAACGTATCAATATTGACGTTACTTCAACGTTGGAATAAGATTGTTTTACGTCCGTTCTTGTTTTGATCAGATTTCGACGTTGATCGGGCGTTTAATTTTGGTTGTTCAGCATTTCAACCTGAAATCAACAGTGATTCCACGTTTAAAAATTAGTAAAAATTCAACGTACCAATATCGACGTTGTTTCAACGTGAAACAAGGTTGTTTTACATCCGTTGTAGTTTTGGTTAGACTTCGGCGTTGATTGGACGTTTAATTTGGATTGTTCAGCATTTCAACCTGAAATCAACATTGATTCAACGTTAAAAAATTAGTAGAAATTCAAAGTAATAATATCGACGTTATATAAATGTTGAAATATATTGAAAACACGGCCGAGTGGGGGTTAAATAAGACAATGTCAACTAAATAATTGTTTATTAATTGACCGCCACAAGAAGTAACGCGTCGAGAGCCGAGGATGGCAGTGGCCACCATCGGACGCGCCTCCCGAGCTTCAGCACACTCGCCCGCTTTCAACTAGATATATGTGTTTGCACTGCGCAAAGGAAATGGATATATTCGTTTTAATTTGGAACGTGAAAATTATAAATTAACAGAAAGTCTTGATTATTCGCATATATAGCTCACAGGATAAGAGAGACGAATCGATAAGGGCTAAGACGACTAGAGTATTATAGCATTTAGAGGTACACAAGAGACACAGGACTTCCAACTTACACATATGTAGTTAATAAAGGCACAAGTGGAGGTTCTACCCTCCATATTGGAGGGACAAGGCACCATGAAGAGCTTCAAGCGAGCCCTACGCGTTAGTTTTCGCAGCTCACCTCCGTGAATGCAGAACCAGTAAGTTCGGTGTCGTTGCCAGATGGTCCACCGGTCCGTGGGAGCCGTGGCGCCAGTACTTCATGCCGTGCGGACGTGAAGTCGCTCCTGGTAGGGCCCAAGTCCTGGATGCATCAGAGATTGTACCAATGTGGTCCGCCGTGACCTCATCACCGCCCGAAAGGTAGCCACCGCCGAACCCCGATCGCTCCACAGGTCTCTACTGCTTCATAGAGACGGGGAAAAACACAAGAAGTTCGTGTCCGACATCTTGACGTCGACTAAGGCGGGAGATGACGAGATGATTAATCCTGTGTGCTGACTGTATGAACGTTAGAGTGGAACTGCTTGCTGGGACGAGGAACCGGGGCAGAGAAGTTTTGTCTTTAGAGTCGTTTTAATAGAAATAAGGATGGCTTAGCTGCTAAACTGCTGCATATGCTCGAAATTATATAATGAAATTTAAAACTTTATTTAATAAAGACATTCAACGGAATTATTAAATTGGAAGTCCGGTCAGAAATGGTTTGGGGTGTTAATTTTATACATCGCCGAGCTACCAGAACTAAGTGAAGGTAGGCAGATACCTTCAGTTTTCTACAAAATATTGTTGTTTTACGTTTATAGTATATACGTTTGCGTATATACGTCCCATCTAGTGTTGGTCGTTTAATTTTGGTTGTTCAACATTTCAATCCGAAATCAACCAATAATCGACGTTGTTTCAACGTTAGATGTCTGCTGGGCTCCCTCACCGTCACAGCCCCCATCATAGAAGGAGTGGAAGGAGTGGTGACCCTCGCCCTCACAGGTTGGAGGAGTGGTGAGGATGGTAGTTCTTAGAGAAGGAGAGATGACCTAGCTACTCCACAGGGAGTGGTCCAAACGTATGGGACAGAGACGCACGCGGGGGGGCAGAGTTTACCTACGGCGCTCTTTTAGAAATGAGGCAGCAGCTGGAAATAATTCAACTCCAGATGCAGGAGCTGCTGGGCCAGGGGCGTCTGGCAGAGCGGTGGAGACGCAGGTAAGCGCACCAATAAGATAAGAGTCTTACATTTTGCTAGCTAACATCGAAGGTTCTTTCCACTAAGAGCACGTCACAAGATTGGCGTGCTGCATGAGATGGCCGACGACGGTAGGATCTTTATGATTGCACTAACGGAGTCGCACCAAAGAAAAGATATCCTCGATGCAGAAATTACAATGGAAGGATTCCAACACTACCGCGCGGACCGGAAGGAAGGGTGGAGTAATTGTCCACCTTAGGAACTTCATCGCATGAAGCACTGTAGAATTGAGATCGAAATCTGAGAACTGACGGCTTTGTTGAACACGTGCTACTCCACTTAAAAAAATTGGACCTGTGCGTAGCCATAGTCTATAGACCGCCTGCTTCTCCGTCGGAAAACTTCAACAAAACCCTTAAGGAAATAGAGACCAAGGTGGCTGAACTGAGTGACCCAGCCCCCAGCCTGATAATTGGGGGGGACTTCAATCTCCCACGAATCCGTTGGACAAGCCTTAACGGCTTAGAGGTCGATGATCGTTACAGAAGTACTGAGTAGGAGCAAGTCAAGAGTACTTAACAACAACTGCACAAGTCAAGAAGCCCAACTTGTGATGTTTGCTGCGGAACACTTGCTCAGTCAGCAGGTACGGTCGCCGACAAGAGAACACAATATCCTCGATCTCTTCTTTACTAATAATGAAAGAATGGTGGTTGACGTTCGGGTTGAAGAAACTTCACTGTCTGACCGCCGCTTAGTGATGGCGGAAACGACAATTGGTATTGAAAACCTGCCTAGGTCTATACCCCAAGAAGGACTGGCATGACTTAACTTCCACAATCGAAGAACGGATTGGGTGGCAATTTGGAATGAAATTAACGAAAACGATTGGAGAGCGGAATTCCACGAGATGAATGCTGAGGAAATCTACACAAAACTATGCGAGAAACTAGCACAAGTATGCGTGCGTCATACCCCGAGAAAAACAGGCCCTAAAGTCCGCAGCATTCCGAGAAACCGACGAATCCTTATGAGAAAACTAAAGCTTTAAATAAACAAATAGCTGAATCCCCAGGTGATATGAGGAGACAGAGGCTAGTAGACTTGTACAAGGAAATCGAACTCAGGCTGCAGGACTCGCACAGGATGGAAGAACATGCCGCGGAAGAGCGAGTGGTTGAGGTCATCAAAGAGAACCCTAAGTATTTTTTTTCAAATACGCTCAGTCCAAGACGAGAGTAAAGACACCAGTAGGCCCGCTTAAGGTTAACAAAGTCATTGTCGGAGATGACCGTCGGCTTGTGTGAGTTACTCACAGTTTGAATCAGTGTTCAGTAACCCCCGCTACTCATGGGAGGAGAATTAAATTGAAATTCTCCATGAGCTGCCAGACGGTAGACGGTTGGAGAACATTGAGTTTGGACCAGAAGACATGGTTTTAAGTATTAAAGAACTGCCGACGTTTTCAGCGCCAGGACCCGACGGAATTCGGCAGTGCTGTTGAAGAAGTGTGTTAGAGCACTGATAGCTCCGCTCACAATGCTCTGGAAAGCCTCGATAACGGAGGGAATCATCCCTGAGGGCCTCAAAGTGGGACTGCCCTATCGAAACTTTTATTCCTGTCAGCTGCTGGCACAAGGACGCCCCAAGTTCATGTTACGGTGTAAATTAGAAGCTCTATGTCCGCTTTAGGTTCCGGTTGCCGGAGTGAAATAAGCGCCGAAATGGAATATTGTGAAATTACCCGTCGAGCTTGGGGCGGTCGTGGAGCGATCGTGGTGCGTGCGTATTTGGTACCTGATACGTTCGGGACAGACACAGCCGGATCTGAAAAATGCGTTAAAAAATGCCCCCTCCCTTCCCTCCCGTATGGGGGGACGGGAGGGGGCATTTCAATCTCTGTACGTTATATATGTATATGTGCAGTCTATATAGTACTACTCGCTTAGTTTTAAGATCAGAACACAGTCTATCATAGGCTCAATTTTATGCAAAGAGGTTTACAGCTAGTAACTTTTATGACATGGCGTGGTTAGAAAAGAGGACAATAATCGCAAAAAAAAATTCAATCGATACATCAATAGCACTGATTCGAGGTAATGCAAGTAAAGCCAATTTTTCCAATTAAATCCATGTATCCTGCTAAATGAACAACGTTGTGTTTAAAATAATAGTTGAATTATTTGCCGTTTCATGTCATATAACTTCCGTCACATTAAATTTCTATCGAGCAAACGGTTCTGCAAGGGCCACGAATTTCTGCGTTCATTGACGAAAGAAAGACCACGCAATAGGATGGAGAAGCACATGCTAATCTTAACAAAATTTATTTACGGCACTAACTTGATTGCAGCTTTCAGTTGTTCACAGTTCATAGCAAATTAGGATATTTCTGCATCCATCGTCGGCTGCTGCAATGACAGTATTGAGTTTCACATGTAGTTCTTCTCACGCATTAATGTTATCAACTGCACTCTGAATTCCTGGAGACAATCAAATAAATATACGATAGTTATGAAAATAGAATATACGATAGTTATGGAAATCCTCAATTCAGATGTGTTGCTCACAGAGGGGCTCCTTGTAAGCGATAGTTCATAAGCTATCTTCTGCTTGAGCAATAAGCTCACGCGTGCAGACATACGCCCAAAGCTGAATCGTTATATTTTGTTGAAGAAACCACTTGTCTAGCAAAAATTTTTACAGGGGTCTGAAAATACTGCTTGCAACTGCTGCAAAATGATGAATAGAAACATTTTTACGTCTAATACAATTCCAACATTGCTGAGCTCGATGAAAATTTCCTGAATCTATCCTCGTGTAATTTGGAGTTCTTCAGAAATAACCAAATTCGTCCTTATACTTAAATGTAACTCCACAATGAAACCTAATGATACAACGAAATAGAGTAGATAGAACAGAACAAAAGCAACTAACTTACTTGCGAATATTCGGAATACGTTCTGCAACATTTGCCATCGTGTTCAGCTGGCCCGCCCAGTGGTATCGACTGATGGCTAGGTACGTAGCATCGTAGGCAATGATAAACTTTCGAGTTTCGACTACACAAATTGATCCAGTTGACGTGTTGATTTAGAAATTAAAACCTAAAGCATATGAACAGGAGCAGCTTAAATAACATGCTCGGGTCGACATGCCCTAAGTTGAAATTTTCTACCGCTGTCAAAATCTTGAACACACCAATGCGTAGTCATGATGAATGTCGCCTGCCGACGAGAACTATAGAAGTACCTATTGCAACGAACTGATCAAATAACAACTGATGTAGAGCATATTCCGCAAGCTGAAATCTTCTATTATTGTCGAAAAAAGAAGTTGCATCGTATGATTGCTGTGTTTCGAAAGAAGTGATGGTGAAAGATAAACCATACAACTACATCTTATTAACTCGTAGGAAAAACTAACAAATTTTCATCCATAATTTAAAATTTTCAGTCAAATACGTCATAATTTAAGGAAGACAACACAATCAAAAAGTGAGTGTTAATCTTAACAAAGTCAAGTTACTGCAGTAGCTTCATTGCAGTAAACAGCCATCCGATCGCACTCAACAGGAGTCGACAATTTTTTTTGGCATAGGAAAAGTTGAGCTCTAAAATTAAATTCTTTCAAGCTTTCAAATTATCAACTGCAATCTAAATTCCTGGATTGATAACCAAAATTATAACGGAATATACCATAGTAATGTGAAATCTAATAAGTTGCTCACAAATGGGATCCCGTTTAAACACATTCACCCTGCCTTCTTGTACGCGATAGTTCACACCGACACGACAGCTGGGGCAGCGAGAACGTCCATGTGACTTCTGCACTGGACCAGTCTTCAGAGGTGGTCGGAAATTACGACAAACGTTCTTATGCAATCTTCATAAATTAAGCTGTTGGCCGTAGGGATGCTTAGAAATTTTAATTTAAAGCATTTCTGCAAGAGCTACATCTTTAGCCGCTCAAACAGACATATACTCAAGGCTGAACATTTCTATTGTAGCCACTAGCCATCATTATTTTGTGGGCTTGACGAACAGTAACCTCCAAACAACTCGAAATCAAGGACTTCCACAAGCACTCATAATATTCATTTTCGTCCTGTTCAATGTCTACAAGTGCAGTGGTATTTACCATCAAATTGTTTAAAGCTCTCTGAAGGAGACAAAACTATAATACCTTTTCGATTAGCATTGAGCACTCTTCACTACGTACTGATTCACGGTTAGTTCTAAACTGGCGCCTTACTATTGCTGCAACGGCTAATGCTCTGTCATGCTCTGTCCGGATGGGGGGTACGGGGAGTAGACCCCCACATACCCGCATACCTCCGCATAGCGGGAACTTCTAAGCACGCTCGCGCTAAAAACTCATGCCAGCTACTGAGCAGGGTAAGCAAATGGTGGCCTGACCAGCCACTGATTTCGCGTGTCATTTGACCTTTATATTTTTTCCACGAAACTACTCAAAATAGCTACTATTTGGCGGCTAAATAAAAGAGGCGGCATTTTGCATCTGATTCATCTCTAATCCGAGAGTCGCAACCGAAATCGGAACGACAGCAGCGCGTAAATTTTGACAGGTGATAACGCCAATCCACAAAGGAGGTCAGAGGACAGACCCCAAAATTACAGACCTGTGATCTTGACCTCACATGTGATCAAGGTTTTTGAGAAGGTAGTGGTTAGGAGGCTGGTCCGGTATATGGAAGAGGCTCACCTGTACAATAAAGAACAACGTGGTTTCCGGCGTAATCGTTCCTGTTTGTCGCAGTTACTGAAGCACCATCACGGTCTTGTGGCCCAGCTGGTGGAGAAAGCCGGCGTGGACGTGTTATACCTAAACTTTGCTAAAGCTTTTGACAAAGTTGACCATGGGGTGCTCTTTAGTAACCTGAGGCTGTTGAGGGTAGGAGGAATCCTGTTGAGGTGGATTCCCAACTTCCTTACAGATAGAGTACAAGCTGTCGCAATTGGAAACTCGAAATTGAGAGAAGCGAAGGTGAAAAGCGGATTTCCGCCGGGCTCAGTGCTTGGACCGATCCTCTCCCTCATCCACATGACTCAGAACTCACCCACGCATCTACATCGTCATTTGCGGACGATACAAGAGTGCTGATGAAGATCACAGATGACCTAGACTGCGAGAGGTTACAGGATGACCTGTCGTCAATCTACGATTGGGCCCTAGTGAACAATATGCAGTTTAACGGCACCAAGTTCGGAGTAATGAGATGAAGGATCCACATAAAGATCGGGATTCCACGTCGCTACTTGGCATCAGATGGTGCAGAAATTGAGGAGAATCAACTAGTTCGAGATCTCGGAGGGTTGATGAGTACTGAAGCCACGTTCGATGCCCATATCGAGCAAATAGTTGCGCGCAGCCGGCAACGGATGGGGTGGATATGGCGGATATTTCGAACGAGAGAAGTAGCACCAATGATTACACTCTTCAGAGCCCTCGTGCTCCCCAATCTTGAGGATTGCTGGCAACTTTGGTTGCCACTCAAGTGCGTGGGCGGGTGCGGTACGGAAATTAGAGGCAGTGCAGTGGACCTTCACGTACAGGATCAGCAGCATGAGGGAGCTGAACCTGAACTACTGGGAAAGGCTGAAACACCTGGGACTGTACTCACTGGAAAAGAGAAGAGAGAGGTATATCATACTGTACACTTGGAACATGATAAACGGACTGACTCCCAACTTAGAGAGTGAGACTCCCGGAATAGTGACACGTTACCACGAAAGGAGGGGAAGCCTGTGCAAGGTTCCCCCAATTAATAACCGAGCTGCGGCTAGAATACAGACTCTCCGTGAGGGATCGCTGTCCGTTGTAAGACCGAGGCTCTTAAATGCCCTGCGAAAAAAAGCTGAGAGGAAGGGAGTATACCCTTGCAACTTTCAAGAGACATCTGGACAATTGGTTGAGAAAAATCCCGGATTGTCCAGTAATGGGAAACTACCCTCAGCAAGTGACAAGCAACAGCATCTTGCATCAGCTGGCCCAAAGGAGGGCAAATGGACGGAACACGTCCAACGTTACATCCAGGATCCGAGGACTGGGTGACCTGCCTAGCGATGACTCGGAGACGGAGGACGACGAAGGCGGCGCCTCATCGTGACCGGGGACTAGTAAGTCCCGAACTCAGCATAAGGTCCAAGGTCATAAGGTACTACAGGTACAGTACAGTTACGTTGTGGTTGCCCGCAGGTCGCCATGTTGCCGCAGTGGCTGTAATGTTGCGTCACGCTAAGCCTGATGGTGTGGTGGTGGGCATGGAGGCCGCAGCCCTGAGGGGGGCACCGTGGGGGGCGCTCGTGGCGGCGGCGGGGGGCGGGAAGGTCAACCTGACGCTGTCCAGTCCTGACGATTACGAGCCTCACGACGACCTCCTCCTGCCGCTGCACGACAGCGGGTAAGAGCCTGTAGATGCATGTAAGGACCTGTGTGTGCAGGTGATGCCGTCGGAGGGGGTTCCATGGAGGGTGACGGAGGGTAGGTCATCAACCCAAACTACTAATTAATAATATTCAATATAATAATAATATAATAATAATAATTAATTAGTTTATGTGGTCTCGGAAATAATATTTGCTGAAATAGCGGCTGTTGTGTTGTCCATTACAATGGATTGCTGGTCATATTCATGCCTCCCCTCACCTTCCTGGGGGACAGGGTGAGGCTGGCTTACTTTAAAGGCTGCGTGGGCACCTCCGCTGGGGCGGCGGCCCTCGCCTCCGTGGCCGACGGTGCGCGGCCGACGGTGGATGATGAGGACGGCGCTGTCCTCACCATCCACATGGCGGCGCCCCTGGACCTCAGCGCCCTCAGGGGGACATACACGCGCCTCTGTGAGTCTTGTCGTGCACGGGGGCGGTGCCCCTGGACCCGTATGCGCTTTACAGTTTATATATTGTATAGTCGTTATTTATTGTAATGTTTGGTGATTATTCACAGCAAAATCACCAAATAACAAGTAATCATGCTACATAAATTATTATATATTTAGTAATGAATATATATTCCTGCACAGATGTGTTCACGCGCCCCCTCTCGCCTCCTGGCCCCTCCTCCGCCATGTGGCCGCTGCCCCCCTCCCCCCCGCCAGTGCTGGTCGTGCAGGGGGCGGATGAGGGGTCCTGGGGGGCCGTGGCCCGCACCATTACCTCCCTCGCCCCCCCTGGCAAGAGGTGCGCAGCATCCCACGGGGGAAATTAGAGTTCCAATTGTTATACATCGCATAGTTATGCTTCGTATAGTTATACATTGTATGGTTATGCATCGTATAGTTATACATCGTGTAGTTATACATCATATAGTTATACATCGTATAGTTATACATCGTATAGTCATACAGCGTATAGTTATACAGCGTATAATCATACATTGCATAGTTAAACATCGTATAGTCATACATCCTATAGTTAAACATCGTACCCAGTTAAAATTTAGGGCAGGGAATAGAGCAGGCCGTCGCCGGCTGCAGAGCCGGCGTAGAGACGCGACAGAGCAGCGATAGAGCAGTAACGCGTTTTCTGTATATCCATGTTAGAAAACTTTCTCATGATAAACTGATTGAGATCTCGCTTTAGCAAAGCGTGAATGACCTTCAACGTTTCTGTTAGTGTTAAAACTGGATGAGCATATAAAATTCTTACGTAATTCGAAGTATTAAAATACTGACGTGAAATAAATATCACAAATGGCACCGGAAATTGGCCCAAAATATCGTGCTATGCGAATGAACTAGATGGAGGATGAAGTTCATTCTCCCGTCACTGTTTCCAACCCCTACCCCTCCTCCCTCTCTCAAAACCACCCTCATGCACGGCCTGCTAGCTGCTCTGCACAGCTCCTTGCCGGACAATCCCAAGTACCAGCGCTAAAACAGCGCAGAGTTCCGGCCCTGCCGAGCTGCTAGAATTTTGTCTCTATATCAGCCATGGCGCAGCGCAGTTTTAGGGATAGATGGCCGGTTATTGTTTCACGGCTCCATCCTGCTAAAGCGCGACCAGCCCGGCTAAACCCGGCGCCGGTCTCGGCTCAAAATTTTAACTGGGTATAGTTATTCATCGTATAACTATAGGTTATACGTTATACATAGTATGGTATATAGTCATACATAGTATAACTCTAAGTGTGTCTGGGGGAATGACGCTGCAGTTTGTGTGCCCAGGTTCGAGAGTCTGGAGCTGCCGGGCTGCCGGCTGAGGGCCCCGGAGCTGCGGGAGCTGCTGATGGTGCTGCACGACGCCGACGTGAGGACGCGCGACTGGGGCGACGGGGGCGACACGCGCGCCGAGGTTGACGGGTGAGTGGACGGCGGCCACTGAACTGGGGCCAATATTCCTAAGTCACCGAATTATATTAATATATAGACTACAATTAAAGTTTGATTTGTAATTGCTACTGATGGCCGCCGCAAAATGAAACAAAATGGAGGCCGATGAAGAAGGACCGTTCACTCAGATGGCGGCCGATCGTTGGACACAACGCCATCATCACGACAATCATTATCATTTGACATATCAGAATAATGATATGTCTTCATTATTGTTAATACTATATCTTAATCCTCAATTCTTATCAATTATATATATGATTTAAATATTTATTATATAAGTACATTTAGTAATTATTGTACAATAAATTATGTTATTATTATTATTTTTAAAAACGCTTTCCGTTTTTGAGTTAGGGTTGCCGTAAGTCTGCGTTCAGGTTTTAGGATAACCACGGTTTCAACAACAAATTTCCTTTTTATTGAATGAAAAATTGTATCGAAATATTGTGGGCAGTTTTGACGCGGGCTACGAACACCTGAGTTAGCATGAAACTATTTGATACGTCGTTGACTAGCTCCTACACTCTAAAGGTCTGATGAACAAGTAAACCATAGGAGCCCATAATATTAGACAATTAAAAACTATGCTTACAAAAGGTTTGCTAAAAATATTTACATTATTATTATTATAGTTTTGATAGAATATTATGATATTATATCCAAATAATTCCTTATGTACAAATTGATTATTAAAATAAAACTATAGACAATTCTAATATTAAATCATAATTATTTCAATATAATAATTCTATATAATCCTTCATGATCATATTGAAATAATTTATTCATGTTAATCATCTCTAACATATTAATGATAAGATGATGGCGCTCTGTCACTGGTCGCCATTTGTCGGCCAATGATAGAGCCACAGAAGATGGCAGCTGCTGGCATGCCACATGCCACATGCCGCGCAGGATATTCACTGCCGCACTCCCACAGGTGGAGTGGGGATTTTCTCCTCTACATCACGCACCGGTGGCCCCCGGAGGGACCAGCGGTACCCAGTGACGCCGAACTGCAGGAGGCATATCAAGGATACCTGCGCCAACGAGGACAATAATGTGTGTTTTGTGTGGGATTAATGAGGCTGTGTGTGTTTTCTGTTGGATTAATGAGGCTGTGTGTGTGTGTTTTGAGTGGGATTAATGAGTCTTTATGTGTGTGTTTTGTATGCCGTATGGATAGCACTCACTTTACTGTTATTAATATATAACCTCACTCACGACCTAGCCATTCTACCTGCAGTTAGATATCATTTCATATAATTAGTGTTTACTTGTTTTTTATTTGTAACGAAATTAGTTAGATATTTTGTTTGAAATTAGTTTGGTATTAGTTTGATCGAGTTTTAATTTATGACCATAATTCTTGTATTGTTGCAGGGCAAAGCGAAGGTGCACTCTGTTCGCTTGTTCCTTGCACGTCTTGCTGGCGTCAAACGTGGATGATGGTGGCGATATGGTGAATGATGGCGATGGTGACGATATGGTGAATGATGGCGATGGTGACGATATGGTGAATGATGGCGATTAAGCACTTGATGTCACTTCAGCGGATGTCTGCAATTCAGCATGGATTTGCCAACTCCATTGTATGTTCTTATATGAATTAGATTAAATTTAGCGGAATATCCTAGAGTGTTAATTTGAAACTGATTGTTGCAATTAGGTTTACGGTGTACGATTATCAGAGGAAATGTCACTCTTCGACGTAATTAAGGATCGTAATCTTTTGGTCCGTACGCAATAATCATGAAAATTTTTGTGATCTAGCAGGAAAAATCTTTCGAAGACGTCGTGGTGTTTAATATTAAAAAACAATTGTTAGCTGATTATATTAATTATTTAAATATGTTATTAACTCAAGGCATTTTTATTACATGTGGGATTAAATAGACTTCCTGTTTTGTGTGGGATTTACTAGACTATATTCGTATTATTTATGGCATTAATTATTTTAATAAACATGTAATTAAATTTGCCACACGCGTTTCATTCGCCATCGTGCTAGGGACCATGAGATGCTAGGGACCATTAGATGAGATGGTCACGGTCGTGATGGTGCCGTGTCCCGACCACGACACGTGCCGCCGTTTGTATTATTAGTAGTCACACGAAACAAATTATCAACATATCATTCAAAATAAGAGAAAGATTTTCTTCCATCAACCCAAACTACTAATTAATAATATTCAATAATTTGCGTTCTGCTACCTGGAAGGAGAAGCAAAGCGTTGTTCCCCATTGTGTTCTTCATGGACTTTAAATCGTAATTTGCTATAAAATGCGACTTCCCTGCAATGAAGAGAAAAACTAAGTTTAGGAAAGTTCGTCATAGTATGTAATAGGATCAAGTTGAGAGTCTTCAGAGTTGAAAGATATTTTTGTGCTTGTATTGAAGTTATACACACCAAATTACATAATATCTGATGGGTCTAACTTTGACCCGGCTATAAAATCTTAAGGAAGACGTTTTATAAATTTGATATAAAGATAAAAAAATATCTAAAAGATTCGCTTTTCACGAGTTGCAGGATAAATTTTTGCTTTCGTCTATCACGTTTTCGACTGAGGATACAAAATTTGAACTTGATCGTAGAAAAGGAATTCTTTGGGAAAAGTTCGTCTGTACAAGACAGGCGACCTGCGCACCCAGCCTGCGTCGCACCAGACAGGCGACCTGCGCCGCAGCCTTCGTCGCACCAGACAGGCGACCTGCGCCCCCAGCCGGCGTCGCACCAGTCAGGCGACCTCAATAAATTGATAGGGGTCGGAGGGGTCAATAAATTGATAGGGGTCGGAGGGGTCAATAAATTGATCGGGGTCGAAGGAGTCAATAAATTTATAGCGGACGAAGGAGTGAATAAATTTATAGCGGCCGAAGAGGTAAATAAATTGATAGGGGTCGAAGGGGTGCAATAAACAAAATTTACATTTTTATTAGGTTTTCAAGACTTGACATCCAATATATATTTTTAAGGAAAATTTATAATTTCTCTAATTACAAAATTTCGACCTGGCGACGGCCGTGCCAGATGAGTGGCTTAAATCCCTCTAGCCGCTCTAGAGGATTTCTTGGGTCATTTACACGAGCCTCTTCATGACGCAAAAGAGCGCCAGGTCAATCAGAAATTTTATTTTTTCATAAACATAGACGTTTTTCTTCTATTTTCAAAACCCTTAAAAATAGCAAATTTTTTCAATTTTCGATTCACCTCCACTAGAAATTGAATGCGTTTCTCTGCTCCAGTGATACACCGTTAATGAGTGCATGAAAATTTCGCACAAATCTCTCGCTGTTTACCTTCTTTTTTGGCTACAGGCAAAAAAAATTGCTATTTTATGCCAATTTTGTTTATTTATTTTTTAATTTTTATGTTGCTTTTTTATGCCAATTTCTAGTATTATTAATTTCCATATCCTAGATGAAAATTAGAGGCATTATTAAAAAGAATAACTCATTTTAAAATGTAAGGAAGTTGGTATCCACGAGGCTGAATTTTGATCCTTTCACATTTTTGACTCGACTTTGATTTTGATTTATGTTATTGACTAAAATAATCTCTGCTTACTAAGACATGATACGCAGATTGCTCAAATTCTAGAAAAATTGGTTGTTAGAGGCAGAACAATTGATCTGTCTGCACCATATTTATTAACTACATTAGGCGCATTGATTAACTACATTGGGTGCATTGATTAACTACATTATAGCGTATTGATTGACTACATTAATTAAACATTAATTAACGGCATTTGTTTACTAGAGCAACGAACTCGTTCTATCAAAAAATTAGAATGCATTACCCGTCCGCGACTTTCTTGTCAAATAAGATTGATTTAGCATGAATTATTTGAGGAAATAACTGGCGCTGCTTTACAGAGATATTCAATGATTTATGTGAAGTGAGATGTGTCCGTTTTATGCGAAGTGAGATGTGTCCGTTTTATGCGAAGTGAGATGTGTCCGTTTTATGTGTCCGTTTTATGTGAAGTGAGATGTGTCCGTTTTATGTGAAGTGAGATGTGTATGTTTTATGTGAAGTGATATTTGTCCGTTTTATGTGAAGTTATAGATGTGTCCGTTTACATATTCCCAGCTGCAATTTGTACTTGTTTCCTGCTAGTTTAATGATTGTCTGACTTGGAATGCAGTTATAGTTTAGTCTAGTTCTCCATTCATTGTTTCTGCTCAAGGAGAGAGTCAGAATACAATCATGTAAAAATGTTGTATTCAGTTTCTCAACTTTTCAGTTTTCAGTTGTGATCACAACCATGTAATCATCGTTTTTCCCATTTGAAATCATACGGAAAAATTTTTTATTATGCTAATACAAAACCACGATCGAAATAAAAATTTGATACCAAAAATTTAAAGTATACACAATTAAAGTCTGAAAGTGTCGTAATGAACAGGAATCCTGAATTTGTTGCAAATTAATTTCATTTTGTGTGTTAACATGATCACTATTGATGTTAATGTTTCTTGCTGTTTAATTCATACTCATAATTGATCACATTTACTCTGTCATGCAAGGCGCTGGCTTGATGCCAGCTACGGGTCGCCTGTCCAGGCCCTCGCCTGCTTAAAATTCCGACGTCGAGAGCTCAGAAATCTCAGCGTTCGTCTTGCCAGCAAAGAGAACCTCGATGGCTGTTTTGAATCAAGTCAACATATTGGTAACTAAATTGCCGTTTCTATTTCTTTTTACACTGTTAGAAAAATTACCGTTAGCGGTATTACCTGCGTTTCAGTGGCCGGTCGACAAGCGAAAAGAAGCATCGTGTCGCCGTTTTTATTCTAATTTAACACTAGAAATCCGTAAAACGTCTGATAAAAACGGCGAAACAGATTATTTTCACGGGGCGACCGACCACTAGAACGCCAGTGGGACCGTTTTTTCACCGTTTTTTCTAACAGTGTAATAGAGGCGGGGACCTAAAAATTACCGGACTGATTTTTTTAAAGATTTATTTATTTATCCAGAATTAGTAGTCAGAATTTACTGGAGTGAACTCAAAGTAACATGGGACAGTTCCACCAGTTCGTCAATACTTCTAAGTGATCTTCAGGGATAAGGTCCCTAATTTTTTCAACACTTTTTTTAGTGCGGCAAGTGGAAGGAGGAGGATGATCATCAATAATATTATCTGTTTATCTCTTAACTAATTATTGAAAAAACTAACAATTGAGCAGCAAGACTCCAAATGCATCAAAAATTGGAAACTTTGAAGGTGCATGACTTTATTCATAAGTAAGAAAAAATTTTAATCTATCTTGGTACAATTACATTATAATCTTTACTTTTAGTGATCATGTTCAGGACCTTAAATTTCTTGTCAGGTTCATGGAGTCACCTTCACTGGAAATGGTTTATAGCAAACCAGTGCGGTATATTAGGTAAATTTTTTTTAAAAATTGCAGGTAGAAATGATCATTTCATGGATGATTTTCAAAAATACAAAGCAAAAGTGCATAATTTTTTCTCAATTTCTGCAAAAAAATGAGGCAAGAGCCATTCAAAAACCCAGTTGAATAGTAATTATAGTGTGAATTTGTGAAAGTAGAGACTTTTTAGACTACATACCTCAGGTTCATTTTTGAGTCCTATGAGTAGACCAGTAAAATATCAGGGATAGTACCACTGTCCGCCACCTGCACCAGCATTATCATACATAAGAAATTGGTTTAAATCTTAGTAGATGAGTAAATTAAAATTTAATTTAAACCGATTCTAAAAAATCTCTGGTTTGCCGCTAGAGAGTAGAGTAAAAGGCAAAAGTCCTCATGATCTTGACAAAAATTCCTGTGAATCTGGCCAATTTCACCAGTTCCTATGGCGCTCTCCCAATTTATTTAGTGAAAAATTATCTATTTTTACCTGCAATTTTTGAAAATCACCCATGAAATAATAGTTTTTACCTGAAAATTTAGGAAAGTTTATCCTCATATAATCCAGATTGGCTTTGCCTAATTGCTATAGTGAAATTTTGGACGAATGGCGCATTTGGGCCCATGATTTTGAAAAATCGCCAGTGAAACTATCTTTTTATGCCGCACATTTTGAAAAATTCTACTCAATATTCCAGATTAGACACTGTCCATGTGCAGAGACAAAGAGACGCGGGCCAAAAACTTAACTCTTAAACAAGTCCTGACGTAATAACGCAAGTCAATAAGTTGTTAAATGTCCTGTTAAGAGAAATTTGACGAATTAATTTATAAATTGATTTGAGTAAGTATACCAGCAGCGTCAAGTAGTTGATATTTTAACTTTATTTCCGTGAAAACTTAATAGGTATATATAGTTCAGCAAGCGCTTGTGGGAATTTTTTAGGATTAAATTCAGTTATTGATTATATGTCAACCACTCCAAGGCCCAGTCTCACGATGCTGCATTATTCTGATGTAATATTCCCCACCGAACAATTGTTAATCGCTTACAAGTTCGCGACATCTTTGCAGCACCAATTGCTGGCATGGCATTAAATATTAGAATAATATTTAAATCTGGGAAATAATCTGCACATATGCAAGCAGCTGTCGTTGTGCGAATTTTATATTATATTTTGAATACATTTTAAAATTAAATACTAATTGAAAAAGAGGCTTGCGAAGAATAAATGCTAAATAGATATTGGTGCGAGCGCTCATTGCATAATAGGAAACTTCACAAAATGTGTTATACTTTGTTTTCAGAAAAGAAAAACATGCTTTGTTTGAACAAAATTATTCAACATCATCGGGGCGAGCGGGAAATTCGCCTCCATACCTGTAAGCTGTGTGAGCAGCGAAACCCTCTCTGATAGGTTTGTCCCAGTACAACTCGTCGACAAAGTTCAGATGGTTGGATAAACGTTCAATATCAAAGCGAACAGTTAACTGATGATGAGCCCAGAAAAAATAGTTCGCCTTTCCGGTCAAGGTGATAACCATACATATATATCATCTCGCCAGAATGGGAAGTCCAAATGCCTTGTCACGTGATGAGTATTGAGTCCAATGTCTTCTCCAAAGTAAGCCACTCTTTGTTCGGCATTTTTCTTGCTCCCTGTGAACTCCATATGAAACTTACCAGGTGTTTGTGTCATTTGGGTTGTGTAAGATTTTCGAATAACTTCAGAATTAGCAAATAGGTAAGGAGTTACTTCATACAAAGGCGGCAGAACGATACCTCGTCCAAGGTCTGTATGAACAAGTGCTGCATAGATTGCATATACAAACTCTCCTTTGTTCATTCTTTCACGGAAAAAAGCTGCATTGTTTATGATTGTTAGCCACGTTTTTCAATGCATAAAAACGTCGAAGAGAATGAGGGCTTCGCCCACTGACGTTTGTTGAACAGGGAGAACCAGTGGTGTTTCTTAAGTAAGCGATGGTCCCTTAGTTCTGTGAGAAGATGCTTAACAGCTTTTCCGCCATCGCTGTAAGATGAAAGGTCAGCTTCTGGATCGAAATTATCCGCCGCTTCTTTCAGCTCAGCAAACTGAAGGGCATCATCAACTTTGTACAGAAGACGATTGCTGTCTTGTTGCCTCTGGGCAAAGCTTGGACCTGACAATAAATATAAACAACCTCACGTTAATTATGGACTGTCAGGATGAAAATAATATAAGAAACATTCTCGAGATTAAGGATCCAAACCAATAATTAAACTACGTTAAAATAATCTTTTTAATATTGTCTACACAGTAGTAAAGTTTTTTATTTTATTTAGAACGTATCCGATTTCTTGAATATATTTTACAATAATGAAAGTTTTAGTTAGGAGGAGGAAGAGAAAAGTCCCCGTTATTGAAATGTCGTCAATTTGGGATGTTTTTGCAACAAATTTAGTTGTTTACCCATCACTAGCAGTCAGTTAATTCTAACGCAGTTGTTCCCTTGGGAATTTAATCAACATAGTTTACCGTCATCTTCACTTAAGTCGCTAGGCCAAGCACACACGCTGCTGCAGAGAACTATCACCACCAGGCACTTCATCTCTTAACCTTCGTCTTGGACAACAAAACAACACACGTCTTTGCAGCAGCTTCTTGGATACGGAATGACGATAAGCTCGAAGGCTGTATCATTCATTCAGACATATCATGTCGTTGCCCCTCTGCAATGTATCAGTTGTTAAATAGATATGTCCGATAAAACGAGCTAAAGATCGCCCACAATGTCCACGGTAATATTAGAAGAATTACTCGTAGCAACAGTGCTTGACGTGAAGTGTTTGGAATCTTATCGGAGCATGGTAAGTGGCGTACATTACTTATTAAATCAGGCATATACACAACATGAACATGAAAACCATTATTTTCTACTTACTTTGTTATAATTAGATAACTATATAGCATGAATTATCTAATTTTGTTACACAATTTTCTTTTCATGATTTCGTATTAAATAGGAAGGGGCGTTCTGAGAAACAGAGCCAACTTCTTTAAAAAAGTCATAAATATCACATCAAAAAGAGTGACTGACGCAATTCTGACACCTAATCAAACAAGCACCTGACATATTGACCTGACTCAAACAAATCTTTAATACGCTGAGCGCTGTTTCGCGATCGGTTGGCAGCAAGAAAATATTTTTATTTATACGACATTTTCATCTAAACGTTAACGGGCTGGGTTCCTTGAACTCTTTCATTAAAGTAATCTTAAGGAATACCTTCGTATTCCATGAATGTTGTACCGCCTAAGCTCTTATAGGTATACTGAAAGTACGCAAGATTATACCTGTTTTACAGTATGCAAGCCTTACAGCAAAACATGTCTGCAGTTACTTTTTATCTAGGACTAACGCATGATTTCAAGTTTTTCAATCTTTTTGATAATAGAAACATTTCGTTAGCATAAATCAGTCCTTCGTGTTCGAGGAAAAGATGTTTCCACAATTCCATGTTTGGGTTAGAAAATGAGTAATCAACTTGTTTGGCAATATTAATATTAGATGGAACAAGTGTGATTAGAACAACAATATAACAACATTGTCCAACTGCAAACAAACATTATATAGCGTATATTATGTGCGCAAATTTATGAACTGAAAATACGATAGTTAACAACTTAGAATTTTTTTTATAAAAACACATGCGTTGTGTGCAAAGAAAATCATGAATTTTTACTTAAAAAATCCCGGACAAATATTCAATAATCGCATTTAACTTCAAGCCGGAGAGAGAGCAGGTAAACGTGACGATGGATATATTCTGGATAAGAAATGAAACCGTTAAAAGAGAGAAATGGACCATTAAAACTCAATCATATAATTAACACGAGCGAAACCAATAATTCGCTGTTTAGATGGGTTGTAAAAACGAATCGCACTGTGTGTTTCAATGAAAATTTAATGAATAAATTCAATGAAAATTTAATGAATACATTCAATGAAAACTTAATGAAACATTCAATGAAAATTTATGAAACACATTAGTTTTTTAGAGCAAATTTGTGCAGTTGCTTTCTTCACTGACCACATTAACCTCTAGGTTGAATTTCATGATTTTGGAAAATACAGTAAATTGTGGATAAACTTTCAAGGGTTATGTTAATGCTACAGATCAATGCAAAGGATCTTGCCTATATTAGATACAAAAGATAACCTTGATACAAAAATTATTGCCATTATATAGTGATTGCCAAGAAGAAAGTCAAATGGAGAGGCGGGTGTTGAGATATGCATGGGCCTTGATAGCTAATGGATCGAACTTTGTAATTTTCACAGCTGATACTGCGCATAGTAGTCGAGTGGAAGAGGTCCTTCTTTGATGCATGTCGCAGTATCAACATGACGTTCAGAGGAACACTGGAACCCATACGAAGGTTTCCACGAGGAAACGAAGAGGTCAGGGTTGGTAAGAAGGCAGCCTTCAGGCGTCTTCATGTCATTCGAAGGCTCCATGTTGAGGTCCCCGCACAGTCCACACAAGTAGCCTCGGAAGCGGTCAGCGGCCTGAGCAAAGTAAGTTCGATGATTAGTAAGTTAGGCAGTAACGGATGAGCAGTAAAATGACGTGAGAAATCGTGTATAAAATGAGTTACAATTTGCATTTGATCGACTCGCTAGTGAAGAAATGACGTAATAGGAAAAGCTGCCAAATTAAAATAAATAAACAGGATATTTGCATTTGATTGAATTGCTATCAGGATGAACAGATTCAGTTTGTAAAATTTTGTAGGCTAGTGGATGTGATCGTCAAATGTTTTATTATAAACATGAAAAATGCAGAGAGCAAACATATGATCAAACTAAAATTTTAATGAAGTCATCCCACGCCTGCAAAATATAATAAGTAATCGATAGTTAAATCTCAACCACTGCCAAGGAAGCTTGCTGTAGGTAACTAATAAGTAAATACATTAGATAAGATCACAGTAAATTAATTGGATATTAACTCCCAGGCAGGGGGCAATCCACACTGGATGCACTGGAATGTTGTTAAAACGAGAGATCTTCACTACAAAAAGTTCAATAAATGATCTGCTATTCTTTCAAACTCTTAAGCAATGTAATACTGGTGGAAGGTTGACTTCAGGCGCTCCCTTATTTATACACTTATCAGATTCATTAAAAAAGTATTCTGAACGAATGCATTAAAAAATCGATTTCCATCAGCAGGATGCTGACCAAAAAGGGGCCTAAATTTTACACTTCTCGATTAAGATTTTAATACTTCCATTAAAAATCCATGTATTGGATAATGTAAGGCCATTGACGCTACGGTCATTTAATAAACTACAAGCCCAAGCTTCACCTTAATGTAGACGCTCGTTTCCATATAAATGACGTCAACAAGGCCGTGCAGCTCCACTTTGTAGAAGCCGCGGCGTCTGTACAAGAACCCGATCACGTTGCTCCGGCCCTGCCCCTTGAGCTCCTTAAAGTATTCTCGCTCATCCCATTTCTGGTCGTTTATCTGAGCGAGGTAAAGGGAATAATTTTGTATTATTTTGTGCGGCATAGACCATTGCGTGATCAAGCATAAGAAATTAGGAAATTGAGCATAAAAGCGACGAAAAAAAAACACGATATTTATATAAATATACGGAATGTAAGCAGCGTTATCCCTTCTGTATTACATCTTTTAATGGATGGCAAAATTTGTTAACAGATTTAAAAATCGGATAACATTTCGGATTAATTTTTCAGGAATCTCCCGAATCTGGATTATTTAGACATGTCTAATAAATCACATGAGCTGAAAAAGTTTGTACATATCGTAAAGCTTGACTACCATAGTTTTTAATACAATATTTTATATGATCGAACTTTAACATCTGTGTACTTTGCTGCCTACATCATTACAAATTAGAAGCAATTTGTGAAGCTCTCACCATAACCTCTCCGTTGACGAAGGCGAGAGAGAAATCTTGACGTTCACTTGCAATGATGACCGCGACTTCGTTGAAGCCAAAGCGCTGCACGGCGATGCCGAAGTCATCGTGGTTACCGTGCTCGCACAACGTCGTGGCGAGCGACGAGCAGCTGTCCAAGGAAATTGAGCGGCTCGTGTTCACGTGGAGGCCGTCGTAAGTCGTGATCTGCAAGTCAAAGATTATTGGGCGACGATCTTTTGCTAGGCACTATTTTATTAGTAGGCGCCTCCAATTTCTGAAATATTGAGCTTCGAGGTTGTTGATAATATCAATGTACTTTAAATCTCCTCTTGCTAATTAATCGCTGAAGTAAAACTTAGTGATGTGATCAAATAATCTTTCTCTGTTTTCGCACGATTGACAACATCGCTGATGTTTTTACTGCTTCGTTTTCATACATAATAATCTCTTTGGTTTTCATCTATAATTGATGCACGGCGTTTAAATATTCCTTTGTGGATATTATAACCGAAGTTCGCCCCGATTCATTCTTGCATATCCGTTGAGTGGCATGAATTTTTATAACATTACAAGACATAATAAATAAAATTGCAAAAAAAAAATTTTAAGAGGAGAAACAAATAAAAAATTTGCGAAGCTTATTGAGAATAAAACAACATACTGAATTCCTTAAAACAGCCAAGCTCTAATGGAGATCAAGTCAGCTTCTCGCAGCCCACGTTGAAAATTGCCGAAGGTGCCGGAAATAAAATAATGTACTATAATATTATACATATATGTGCGTTCTGATTAGAGGGCGGAACCGCGCTTAGGGATTAAATTGATTGACTTGAATTTGTAATGTAAGAGGTGCAGTCAAAAGCTTCTGTTAAAGATTTCAATCCGCTGAATGTGGTTAGAAGAGTCAATAGGAATTGAGATGAAAGTAGTTGTGGATCAGGATTACAGTAGTCGCTTACATCAAGTGGATATTGCATGGCTTGTGTAATTGTTGATATTATTACCATAGGTAATTATATAATACAGTATTGGATCTTTTATTCTGTGAATAAAATAGTGAACTGATAAAATCAGCGAAAATATTGTCTCCAAGCTTTCAATCATCAGAGTCATGAATTTTTCGTAAATACCATCATAAACACCATCACTGCACACTGAGAGAAATAGGTGGGTTTTGATGACCCACTTAGATGATTCAACCGCGTCCAAATAACGATGCACTTTTTTGACTCACTTGCTCCATTTGTGGGTCATACTGACCTAATACAGACCGTATAAACTTCAGGTATGACTTGTGGAGTCAGAGCGATTTAAAGCCACGAGTGAGTCATACCTGAAATTTAAGAGACCAGTAATAGGTCAGCATGACCCATAATTGGGCAAGTGAGTCAAAAAATACATTGCTGTTTTGACGCCGTTGGTCTAAGTGGGTCATACTGACCCACCAATTTCTCTTAGTGTGACGGGATTGATGCTTCGCAAATTTCACTTCGATATCGTCATTTTGGTTTTTCGATATACTCCCGCCATGATTAAGAACATACGCAAAATCCGGTGCTTATCATAAAAATGTGTATCTTAAATACTATTATCACGTTATGTTATCCCTCAGAATATTCTGACTCACAGAATCAGACTGGATGGTGCAGTAGTCTCCGGGAATGTAATCCGACATAAGGCCAATTTTTGCGGAGTTCTGGACAATTTCAGGGAGTTGGACTCCATCCAAAATTTTCTGACCGTTACGAGTCAAGAACCACCTGTTCTGTTCGTCACTGAACAACAAAAAAGATGTCTTGTAGTTAGGAATGAAAATTGTTATAATCTAGAATTATCGTAAATTTAGGTTTGACTTATAACATGAGCATGAACATATAAACATATTTTGGATACGGTAAATTATTGAAACTAAATATTTGCAGCATGAAATTTTTGGCTAAGAAATACCGGAAGACGGAAGACTGTATTTTCTTCACGCTTTCCTCTGCAAAACAATCGTCAATAGGAGGCTCGTGCATAATTCTTTTCAAGAAGATTTCATTGAAGAGAGTCTTGTAAGTGAATCCGAGGAAGCTGTTTCGGCAAGGCAGTTTGCTCACCTATGATTGGAAATTAGGTTGACAAGAAATCGGAATACTGTGATTAAAAATACATATTTACACGTTACAGTTCGATCCTCAAACGAAATATTTATAACTTAATATCAAGTATAAATAAAATTTATTCAGGAAATTTTTAGGCGTATGTACTGTAAGTTTTCTTGAATATTCTGTTGAAGAAACATCAAAAAATGGAAGCTTATCCACGAGACAAAACACTCACGTCATTTACATTGAGGGTCCTAGTCACTTCGTTGTACTCCGCTATTTTGTGGAACTCTCGTACAGCGTCGGTTTTCTTGCCCCAGTGAAACTTGCTTTTTTCCTCCAATTTCTGTTTCAGGCTGGCCTTGCCCACTTCAGTGAGTGAATACTTGAGCTGTGCGCGGAGGCGATGTTCAGAAGTAAGTTTATAAATAGACCAGTAATTTATTATGGAACTAGGTACCAGAGTGTGATTTATATGAGGAATTTTACACTCTAATGATTGAGGAAAAGTTAAAATTGTCGATGATAATTATTGTTAAATAAAGTGTGTTCCCTCTAGAGTCTAGAGGAAATAAATCTATTTCTGCATCAGTTAATGTTTGAAATCTAAAAGACACCATAACACGGTAAAAAAGAACGTATAATCTCAAAATTCTCAGCCGTCAGTGGGTCCAAACCAAGCTTACCAACTTGTATAAAAAACGAAAGCTATTGGGACATCACAACAATTGCTCTTATAACAGATATGATACAGAACACTTAATGTAATTATCTAAAATATTTCTTAATCTAAAATTCTCACGGCAAAAAATTTACGTAGATAACGTCACTTTCTTGATAAACTTAACCGGGTTATTAGAAAATGTTTGCACCAAACCCCTTTACTAGTTAAAATTCTGAAATTGGAATTGCACTCATTTGTTGGTAGTTTTTCGTAATGCAATCAGCAGTTTGCTTGTAGATTTTATCCAGGCTGCTTATATAATCGATAGTTACTGAAATATTCTAATACGGAAATTACGAATTCCTTGTGTTTCAAATTAGTCGATGAGAATTTGCAATAAATTCGCCGAAAAACAAATAAGTTTTCATGACACTAATGTCAATTCTCACCGAGGCTGATGAGAAAAGCGTCTCGCAGCGGTCCCCTTGATACACACTGAACTGCTCGGATCTGGTGAGGTTCTTTGCGAAAATGACGTCAATTGTGTCGAGGTCGTTTAGCTTGGGAAGCGTTAAATCCCCCTCGAAACAAGACTGTGGCAAAAATAATATTGACATGAACACGGATACTGTATTCTGCAAGAATGGTAATTATTAGTAGTAAAATGTTTACTAGAGCTTTAGATAGATATCTATTTCGCTCGCGCCGGATCAAAGGGCAATTCAAAACATGCATCACCAGTGCTGAAGACCAGAGCAAAAACATATAACAGTAGTTATTTAAAATAAAAATTATAGGCTGACCCTGGCGCAAGGCACTCCAGTAACGTCGAAGACCGCCGCAATCTTGGTAGACTTTTGGTCGTGCAGTCCATAACAAGTTGTGGTGGCCAAGACAGCCTCGAAGCTCGCGGTCTGCTGATTGTTGCGCCATACCTCGCCACGGATGCTTTGGCCAGCTATTTGGTACTCTGATCCCAACAAAATGCTTAGTATAAGTAAGTATGATAATAATAAGTATTTTAACTCAAGTGAATGAGATAAGCATATATCGAATAGAAATCAGCTTGAAATCAATTAGGGCACTCGTACTTCCATGGGTAAGACATCGGGCTATCATATCGAAATTAATAATTGCACCTATAATCTGAAATTTAAAATTAATTTTAAATTATTTCAATTTGAAATCAATAGTGGCGCCTATACTTAGATAGGATTACTACACATCGTATCGAATTAAATTTGAAATAAATAAAGGTACATATTATCAAACATCGCGGTATGATGTACAGTTCATTAAGACAAAAAATAAATTTATCGTATTAATTCCACAAAGGGGAATTAATGGGATTAATTAATTAACACAATCTTTGTAATCTGTGCTGAAAATACGTGACGCACCTCATCAGAAAAAAATGAATGGAGCCAAAGATTAGCGAATTTTGAACAGTTTTGCAAATTTATTAATCCATCTCAATGACCTCCATGTATGCAATTAAGCACCTGCGCTTGTCCACGAAAGTCAAGAAATAAAATCATACGATTACACATATCATCGATTGCACTCACTCCAACCGGCGTTCCTGCGAAGATTGCGTAAGAACGACATGAGTTGCGGCTCCGACACGCTCCCAAACTGCTGAGTCGGGCGGGTCAGTTCCACTTCAGTCGAGTCGAGGATCGTTAATTTCTGCGGAGCTTTTGACTGCTGTTGCTCCTCCTCCTGGCCGAATGACCCGAACGTCTGAGGAGGAATTTTTATTTCAGTCCCTAGAATACGGAATAAAGCTCATGACCGGGAGAAATGAGGACACATTCTGCTGAGACAGATGATTGTTCCTCAGTCGCTCATGTACCTGCGATGAGATCCATTCTGCGGTAACAAATTTCTAATCGAGTAATTAATCTCTCGTCGTATTACACGAGAATTATAGAAGCAGTAAAAATCGATAATTTACAATTATATTAAAAATATAAAATAGTAAAGGAAAATAATTCTTATTTTACGAGGGTGAAAACAACGATGACTATAAATAGCCCAACAACTTCTAAATCGTTCTTAACGGTACAGTACAGTAAGTTGGACCTATAGAATAGACAGCTGTTGCTTTACCTGAATTTCATTAAGCCCAACAACTTCTAAATTGTTGGTAACGGTACAGCACAGTAAGTTGGACCTATAGAATAGACAGCTATTGCTTTACCTGAATTTCATTGAAAGCTGACTGCTCGATGTCGACACCTCCAGACTGCTGACTCCACAGGTCCTCGTCTTGCGCCTGATCTCCAGTGAACTGCTGCACGATGTCTGAGCTCTCGTGGCCGCACAGCTCGTAGTCCTCGAAGGTGTCTTGTCCGTACTTAGAGACGAAGCGACCGGCGTCGGGCGCTCGTTCCAAATGGCCTGTGGAAAATATTTAGTCTGCTTAATTAAGAGGCGTATTCGCAACATGACCATTAATTTCTGTTGATACATACGTATTTAGTCTGCTTAATTAATAGGCCTATTCGCAACATGATCATTAATTTCTGTTGATACATACGTATTTAGTCGGCTTAATTAAGAGGCGTATTCGCAACATGACCATTAATTTCAGTTGATACATACGTATTTAGTCGGCTTAATTAAGAGGCGTATTAGCAACATGACCATTAATTTCAGGTGATACATACATAAACATTAAATGTAGGGTATTAATTTGCAAGATTAATCTTGAATAATTGAATATTTGTTCGATATAATAATGCGGTTTAGGCTCTTTACATTTTTTAAGCTTAAATTTGCACGGTCAACTAACGACAGTAATTTTCAGTACTCGCCAATAGTAGCAGTTTCATCGTCTGAAATGGCCTTGAAATGTTCCTTTATAAATTTGTTGTGATGAAATAGTGGTGCGGCAAAATTTTAATTATAAAATGGTGATTTCGCCCCACAGAAATATCGTTATTGCCTGAACGTTGCTTAACGATGTAGACATAAAAACCCGGAAAAACTTGAAGATTCTTTCAAAAACATGTCTGTAACATGAGAATTTTAACCATGATCTCTCTTAACGCACTGCAACTACGATAACTATGTGATAACTCCCAATTCAAACTTACCATTGACAATTATGCCTTAAACTTTAATTCCCTCAGAAATATCCAAATGAAGTAATGAAATTATGCGTTAAAATTTAATTCTCTCGGAAATATCCCAATGAAGTGATGTAATTATGCGTTAAAATTTAATTCTCTCGCAGAAATATCCCAATGAAGTAATGAAATTATGCGTTAAACTTTAATTCTCTCAGAAATATCCAAATGAAGTAATGAAATTATGCGTTAAACTTTAATTCTCTCGGAAATATCCCAATGAAGTAATGCAATTATGCGTTAAACTTTAATACCCTCGGAAATATCCCAATGAAGTAATGCAATTATGCGTTAAACTTTAATTCTCTCGGAAATATCCCAATGAAGTAATGCAATTATGCGTTAAACTGAAATATCCCAATGAAGTAATGCAATTATGCGTTAAACTTTAATTCCCTCAGAAATATCCCAATGAAGTAATGCAATTATGCGTTAAACTTTAATTCTCTCGGAAATATTCCAATTAAGTGATGTATGAAATAAGAACAAATTACTAACCTAGACTGTATCTGAGGACGACACGAGCGTTGGTAGGGTTGAACTTGTGCACGACGGAGAAGGTGAAGGCGTGCAACGAAGGAGCCAGCAGCCATTTATCCAACCAAGACGTTTTCCTGGTGAAGAAATTCCAGTAACGATTGAGCCTCAAGATTTTATTGAAGCAGTTATCATTCCTAGCAGAAATAGTTCATGTCTTGCAATGATTTAAGAATTCTCGTCGTTCCAGTTTAATTTACATTTTCAAAACTAAATATTCAAGGAAGAAGGATTTTAGTAACGTTAATATTCAACATTTCCTTTCGAATTTTCGTGGAAACCTTGTTATAATTTATTATAGATCTTCTTCATTTCACTTCGTATGACTAATCGATACATTTGTTGGTGATTGGCCTGACGAGTTGTTAAAAAACTGCCTCAGTCACGCATTCGTGCATTGAACACTTCGGTACAATTTTGTCACAATTCATACCAGAGCGAAATAAATGATTTTCTTGCGGTAGACTCTCCCGAATAATTCAAATGAATGCACTGTTCGATGTTTTAAATTAACAAGCTGACTTATATGCTCTCATTTAAACTTATGGATTTGGGGAAAATATACAAATGTATTTGTGAAGACAAATTGCAAGTCAGAAGAAAAAATTCCATCCTAGCAGTATATATTAATATTATTTCCACGTTACCGTCATATATCGAGTAAAAATAATTAATTATTATATTCAAGTTGTATTATCTTACTTGTCAAAGAAGGAATCCAATTCCAGAGACAGCGGGATGTCCCCTTCGTATTTGGCATCAAAATTTAAAGGCAAGATCCATTCATTCTGCCGGGAAAAATTTCTGATTATAATTTTTTATAATTAATCGCATAATTAATAATCGAGAAATTCCGAATTCGTGATGATGACTTTTAGAGCACTGTCCATTAAATTCAATCGAGCTCATGTTTATTCAAAGGTATCACAAAATGCGGCTTCGTACACTACAATAGTTAAATAAATTTTATTTTAATCTGTGTACGTGTTTTCAGACACAAATAAATCGATTTTTCCCGAAGCATGAGAAACTTCATCGTGATCTACTCCACGAGATGGATATAGAGTTGATGCTGTCGATCTTTAAAAAGTGCTTTGCTGGACAATTACACAATTTTTCAGTCATTGACATGAATTGCTGAGAATATTGTTGCTGATAAATCTTTCCTCCTATACATAATGTACTTTTATTTGAACTGTTTGCATAAACGCAATTACACAAAAGATCAGGTTTTTATTTAATTAAATCGAGTAAAATGATTGAATCGATTAAAAAATTAAATCGAGTAAGGAGGTAGATCGGGTAAATTAATCAAATCGAGCAAAAACTTAAATCGAGTAAAAAGTTAAATCGGGTAAATGAATCAAATCGAGTAAAAAATTAAATCGAGTAAAAAGTTAGTTCGAGATAAGTATTTAAATGCAGAAAAAATTAAATCGAGTAAAATAACTAACCTTGTACTTGGTGTGTGATTGGGGACCGGGCTCAACAGATGCCATATTCTGGAGGACTCGAGATACATCGGCGGGCGCAGTGTCCCGTAGGAGGGTGTAGGGCTGGGTCGTCTTTATGAATACAACAGCCTGTGAAGTAAAGTAAAGTAAAGTATAGTGTTGAAAATTGTAAAGATGTATAACTAGTCAATCATATTATATTATTGTTGAACGAAGTTTAAAAAGTTTTAATTCAGTTACCAATCATTCTATTGTTTACACCTAAAATAGGAGTAAAGTAAAATTTTTGCTAGGAAATTTCGTACAAAACCTCAAAATACTTCGATTTAACGTTGAATAAACAATTAAATCACCCCAGGAATAGAAAAATATTCCCCTCTTCAAGTAAACACGGACAAAAACTCATAAAAATTCAGAAAGACGTGTCTACCAAGGTACTCTTTCACTTTTATACATAACCCTGATTTAAGCAGGATTAAGATTCATGTTGTGTTTCTTGCTATTCAATATGTTTCATTCCATAAACTAGTCACAAGAATCATATAAAAATCTAAGAGTTTTTATATTTACACTCGTTTCGTATTTCGGAGTGAGAGTGATTTCTAAAGCAGCGTTGTGGTCTTTGTCTGCAGTACAGTAGCTCTGTAGACCAGTTTGGGGGAGTAAGGTTGCAGTGCGCCGGTGGTGTGAGAGACTCCAGCAGCCACCATACTTCTGGACCACGGGGCCATTGTCTCGACGATTGCGCTCAATGTAGACACGCAACTGCACACATATCAGTCACACTCAACAGATTATATGTAGAAAGAACTAGAAATTTAAAAGCGAAGAAAACACCACAAAAATTTAGCATATCTCTTTTGAAAACGTTTCGGAGACCAGCTCCATCGTCAGTTCGATAAATTTAGAACATAGATAAATGCAGAAAATTAGTTTGGAGTTAATAAAAAAAACACAAACAGAAGTTAAAAACCTAAATTTTACAGACAAAGGGCAGAATAATAAAGTAAGTACCAATCTATTCACAATTTCTAATGGATAAGAACTATAGGCAGCATTTAAACTAGGCTTCTCTTTAAAAATATACAAGGATTCCAAAATACGCAGATCGGAAGCACCAGAACTATAAGCTAAAACCTTAAAGTCTGTGTCGGACACTGGAACGTTGCACTGTTCGGCGTGAGTGCGCACAGCCGAATGAGGACGGCGCGATAGTAACTGCCCAGTCCTATAACTCCTACCTCTATGCTCAGCGACCCGAGTGTAAAAGTTGCGTGCCGTCATTCCGACATACGCAGATGCACACCGTGCACAACTAAATTTATAAACTAGGGACGATCGCATATGAGGAGGAAGAATATCTTTGTACCTAAAAAACGAACCTATTTTGAAATTATTCACCAGTAAGATACGAAGATTAATGTCCGGGAAGTATTTCATAAACAAAACTTTTAATTCTCTTGACATAACTTCGGACGCATGGCCGAAGTATGGAAGAATCATTTGATGAAATTAATATTTGCAATACTTCAGTTAAATCTTTTAAAATTACTCGACTGCCGTGGCCTCTCCGATGGCTCAACGGTAGAGGCTCTGCTTCGCGTGTGGGAGACCGGAGTTCGAATCCTGCAGGCAGGGACTTCTTCAAGGCGATTTCTCACGAGGTATGTGTATGGTACTCTGATTATATGTTCCTGCTACATGTCTGACATTGTTACTTGTACTGCCATGGTAGATTTGCATACGTAGCACTTAGAAAGGTGATTGGGTGATGCAATATCAGTAAATGCAGAAGCATCGGATTTGAAACTAAGGACTTAGAATGGTGATTGGGTGATGCAATATCAGTAAATGCAGAAGCATCGGATTTGAAACTAAAGGAAAATTTTGTATTGAATTCATTTTAAAGGTGGCCACTGGTGGCTCATTGATGCGCCACCGGTGCCAATGGGTATGTATTGATGTACGAAGAGCTTTACGGGTGTGGTGGCCATTGGCAGGTTATAGGTGTGGGATAAGTGGTGCACGCCACCCTCAATTCACTGTATAAATCATATAAGCTCCACCTATGGGGTCCGCCGATAGCCACCATAAAAACATAGGTGCTCCACTCTCAATTTTTATTTGGGTGTTTAAGGACATTGATTTATGAAACATTATCTGTCTCGAGTGTGCAGACCTTGGATTCGCGCCAGGATCAAACTCGTATATAATTATTTACGAAATATTTGGAACTTGGACTAATAAATTAATTGCGGATACTCTGAAACTTTTTCCATGCTCCATTAATTAATCAATTACATCACACTAATCAAACCTCATGCACGCGAAGGCTATAAGGACAGCATCTGAATTAGGATGGATTGTGAGGCAATAAGAAAAGGTGTATAGTTCTTCTTATGAATTCTTGTTCTTATGAACTCTTCCGTACTTTTTCTGGCTGCATTAACGCCTGAATTAAGCACATTACACGAGAATAAATATTAATCCAGATTTACTCACGATTCCGCGAATGCTCTAGTTTCCAGTTCGAAAGTTTGCTTGGATGCATTTCTGGAGAAAGCCAAGGTGCCTGTGAAGTGGTAAATTGTTGGCTTCGCCACCTGCTCAACATTAGCTGGCATTCATTGATTGATATAAAAATAGTACAGGATAAAGCTTCTTCTTCGACTTTCCAATATGTTAACATTGACGTATGAAAATGACTGCATCTGCGACCGATTTACTCAATTTAGAAGTTATATAAAGATTGAAATTGTCATGGCAGTTTTATATGTCGGATCCAATTGTACATGGTGCATAGAAATGATGGCTTGGAACGACTCGTCACTAATATCGAATGAATCGGATTTTTCTCGTGTGGGAATATCTAATATTTGGATGATTGGATTTGTCTTTTCTCTCAGTATTCCCTTGAATATTTTTCAAAATTTCAATTTCAATTTTGATTGTCTCTTTTCAGTTAATATGGTAATTAATGAGCCCTTAATAATTAACTCAATTCTTGGGCATTGCAACACAAAGCTCAACATTTCAATTCTATAACAAGAGCAAAGATGTACTCACATTAGTGATGACCGGCAGTCCAATATCATTCACTGTTGTGAACGTATAATCATCAGGGTTGACATACAGGGTGCTAGGCCCGGAGAGGCTATTGCCGGAGCCCCCTGACATAAAAATGAAACGGAATTATGCAAAACAGAGGAAAATTGGTAAGTAAAATCTAAATATTTTGATGGTTTTTGATAACAATTAGGATTTGATGTGCAAAATAATAATGCTATTAATCAGCATGAACTGAAATGAATTCCTTCACAACTCCCTTCACATTCCTTCCAATGAATTCCTTTACTCATTACATGAATTCCTTCACAAATTCTATGTAATGTGCTTCTGTGCAAATATGATAAATATGATGCTTCTATTCATGTTATTCTACGCTGTCAATTTCAATTGCATTCGCATCTATTATTATGAAGAAATGTTACCTTGCACCTTCAAGCAAAAAAATTTACCTCAGAGTCCACTAGTATAAATTAAAATTGTAAAACTATTTACTGATCATCTGCTAAGCAGGATTTAATTGATCTAAGCTTCACAGGCCTTATTATTAACTTGCATTGTTAATAATTGCCCTTTTTTTTTGTTGGAATGGTGAGTGTGGGAGGCCTTTAAAAAAAAAAAAAAAAAAAAAAAATTAACAAGTTTGCAATGAGCCGAAATGAGATTGAATAAGAGAATTTAGAGATAGCGCAGTAACGGAATGATTAATAATGCGCCAAAAGTTTAATATGCAAAAAAGTTTAATATAAAATATATCTGTTGACTCACACACAGACTTCACGAGGTCAGCAAAGAACTCGTGCTCGAGAGGCAGGAAGATCTCAACGTCCTTCAGAGGGTTGAAGCTCACCAAGCCCACTATTGCCGCCCGAACCTTCTCGCTGATGACCAGGTTCGACTGATGGCAACAGGGCCACATTTTTATTTGCAGCGTAAAAAAATAAATCAAGTCGGAGATCGTATTTGAACACAAAATTTACCGTCAAAATATTTTTCCGTCGTCTTCGGCTACTCTATTTACTTGAAAGGAAAAATATTTTATTGTTATCTTTGCCGTGTGCTTTGGCGGATTGTTCGTTACTTGATATGAATTTAGGTATTTGAGGGCTACTAATAAGGCTTGAAAATACAGTTCGTAATCAAGTGAGCTATTGTGCTATTGAACTTCTAGATAATATATTTATAGAGGCACTTACACGGAGCATCTTCATGAAATTGGTTGAGATTTGCGCATTGCTGCTCGCGGGGGCTACGTTGTACAGCAGCTTGCTGATAATCTCCATCAAGTTCCCGTTGTCGTTGGAAATTGAGATGTCCAACTTTTAAGACAATAAATATTAAACAAACGTTCCTATTTAACAGAGATGTCAGGTTATACTAATTAACAAGACACGTATTAAGGATGTAAGTTATATTATGAAACAATTCACAAAAATATCACCATGTGTCACTTGAAAAAGTTTAGAAAATATTCAGCAATGTACAATTAATTACAATACCAGCTAAATACACTAAGAACTTGCCGTCCAAATTATCAATGAAAAGAACCATGAGATTGAAAAAGCAAAAACATGCTGACTGGTTAAACCATATCATGCACGATAGTTTTCTGTTACTATTTGTATGGCCACCGGAGATTCAAGTCCCATTGAAGACGTAGCACGGACGTGCTGTGAAAATAAAACGTCTACGAAACGGATATTTTTAACTCGAAGCCGAAAATAACGAATACAGAATCTTTGATTGAAATCCTCCATACTATCAATGAAATGGACCTTATCTGTATAGGCGACGGAAAAATGCCAAAGAATAAACGATCGTGATGATAGAAACCAAAGCAATGAAACTTGGTCGTTCTCGCGAAGTTATCGACAGTTTACCTTGCGATGGAACACCGCGCCTCCTAAAGTTTTCCTGACGTAGGCAGAAAACTCTGCTGGCAGGGGAGAAGCGGGGTCTTTGATGCCCATCTGGTAGTCCAGGCTTCCAAACTGAGCAAAAATTAAATTTATTCCATTTCTCTCCGAGAAAGACATGAAAACTTTGTATACTTTCAATCTATTTAAATCAGAAAACAGGTTTTTAATGAATTAACCCCTACTTAATTATTGAACACGGGGAAATGTTACATAACACTGATAATGATACTCAAAACTTGGGAATAATACATACATTGCATTCATTTAAAAATAATATTTCTTTGAACCGAGCGGTTCTTAATTTTTATGAAGTAAGACAAATGCGGGCAAAAAGTTTTCCGAAATACATTGCTTTTAATCCTTGCCAATGCCCACCAATTATTGCCCCAAAAAATATGCAGGCGCAAATTTTATTTTAACAACTTTTTTGCCAATTCAAAATGAGTGAGCGATATTTTGAAACAAAAAATTAATTTTCTCGAAGATCGTCTTACTAACTCTCATATGTTTAACTCTCATATGTTGCATCGATATGATACAAAAAATACATTAATTGCATAAAGACTCAAGTATAGGAGAAAAAATAATGGGAACTTTAAGTAAAAGTTCTAAAATTCGGTTTTTAGAATCTGTCACTCTAGTTATAATCCGCTCATGTACAGAGTAATGAGCTGGTGAATTATCATAATATTGATGATACAGGTGATGGAGATATCACACAACAAACAAATGGCCTTTAATCAACGTTGACGTTAACTTAGTTTCGCCGAACGAATTTTTATACACCGTTGCTTCAGTGCCAGGTGCTTAGTGTGGTTTAATTCAAGTGTTTATATATGTAAATCGTTCTTTTTAGTCCACAAAGTATAAACTCGCTGTTTTTACTCTCATTTGCAAAGTTTAAATTTATAATTTTAGTTCAATTTTAAATCGGCCGTACCTGAGAAGAGAAGCAGTAGCGGTACCAAGACTTGAAGCCCGAGTAACGTTCAGCCGCGCTGCTAGGCTTCGCAAGCGAGAGCGCGTGCTGCGCAAGCTGACGCCTGTGAATTCACTTACGTTACACAAAATTTTAATGTGCCCTGGCGATTTCTTTATTTAAAACCTAGCCTGCGATCAAGGTTAGGCATTGTCGAGAAATTTTTTTATAGACAACATCAAGCCTGAATCATGTGCAGGAATCATTTGGAGTATATTTTTTTAAATCCCTTTCGGCATGTTACCTGCAAAGTTGCGGGAATTAGAAAATATAGAGGAACCTTCCACTACAAAGAATTCACAGCTCACAATGAAACATATAATATGTTTAGGTGTTATCAATCAGTATAAATAATTAAATTGCTAGTTTTCATACGTCACTCACATCCTAATGGCCTCGGGATGCTGGTATTCAGAAGTAGTCTTGATAAGTGAGTAGGTGAGTGCAGAAAGATCTTTCAGGCCAGACATTTTTGTGGCCAGCGCCAGGCGAGTCCAAGCTGCCGACGTTAGAGGCCACGAGGAGAGGAAAGCTAATGCACGCGCCCTCAGGGTCGGATGTTCGGCAGGGTTTTCGAAGATGTCCAATAATATCAAAGAGATCTGAAACAAATTGTCAATCTAGTAGTGAAGTCAGCAGACTTTCATGACTGCTCTGAAATAACTGAGTTCTTCTCATGACAGCAAATCACTGCAACCAATGGTTTCTAGATACTGGTCCTATCATTATCAAAAAGGGTCACTCGCTACTGCTTTTAAGAAACATTTATTACTGATTACCTTCGTCTGATGTCGGCCACTCGGGGCGTTCCAGCTCGCCAGGGCCTCGAGGGCCAAAGCTCGAACTTGAGTGTCGCACTGCCTCCTGCCGAGGGCGTACGGCAGCAGGGCGTTGGTCGACTCAACCGTCTTCAGGTTGACCAGAGCTTTCACGTAAACCATTTGCTTCCAGAACTTGGTGGAATTCTGTAAGTAATTACGATCGTTATTATCATTGTTAAGCAAGTTCAATTTATGAATGTTGGTGACTTAATCAACTGACCACATCTAACTGAGAAATGAAGCCCATGAGTGGAGTGATTAACTGGGCATACTGTAGAAGTAACATGAATTTGAAACGGAGCACTGGTGAGTGGTAACTCAGAAATATTTCCAAAACCCCGAGATGACAGCTTTAATTTTGCTAATGCCCTAAAAGTATTGTTGGCAGAAATGGTAAAAATGAATAACTAATATGAATTAGAATGCGTGTTACGTAAATTGGTTATAGAGCTTTACTATTATATTACTATCGTATAGCATTGAGTTAGTACCGAGAGTCTGTCAATGAGGGTTCTTTGTAATATCTCGAGGATCTGATCTCGGCGGCACTGCTGTTTGGCGAAGTAAGTGAAGGAGTCGTTGCGACCGCTCGTCCCAAGGCAAAGACGTTGCACCAACGAGGCGAGGTTCAACAGCGATTGAGATGTCGAGAATGGCTTGGCGTCAATGTTCTGGCTGAGAACATAATCCTGGGAGGACGAGAAAACAATTTGCACATTTTCGTATGTGGTTATATGGAATATGTCTAACAATGCGCAACGCATTAGCACAAACTTCCCATAAAATAAATGTTATATTCAAAACTGTCCAGGGAGAATGGCGTGCAGAATTCCAATGACCCTTTCAAATCTCAGGAATGGAATTGAGTTAGGTACATCTGATTTAAAACAACAAAATAATTTCACAAAAATAATAGAAGGAGTAAAGAAACGAGCATGAATAAAAAGTCTTAAAAATTTAATTTTGCTAATCCATTTCGTAAATGACCAATCTAATATTACAGAACCTGCATGCAAAGAAAAAATACGCTATTTGCTTCATTCAACCATGATAGTTATCCGACTCCCAATGAAAAATATTTAATTGCGATCTGTTAGCTTAAAAATTTGCTACGCAACTTTCTATACCTCTAAGCTGGAACGTATAATTAAATTTCCGTATTTGAAACCCTACAATAGTCAATAATATGCCGTATTTTAGCTGACCATGACAGGTTTGAGAGCATTGGTCGACTTGAGGTTGTTGTTGTTGAGGGAGCTGGAACATATAATTAATTTTCGGTATATGAAGCCCTACAATAGTCAATAATATGCCGTATTTTAGCTGACCATGACAGGTTTGAGAGCATTGGTCGACTTGAGGTTGCTGTTGAGGGAGCCCGAGAAGACGACTTGTCTGAAGGCTGACACGCGGTTGTCCTTCAACGCCTGCAAGAAGAGCGTCACCGCAGGCTGGGTGCCAAGTTCACCGATTACACCGTAGAACAAATCACTGCACAAAAATTACTTCATTCACCTCAGATAAAGTCAATTATTATAAGTGAGTTCTGATGCAATAATATTATTTTTAGATGTGAAACCAAAATGAAATCTAAATTTGAAGTTCTCGTCTAGTGTTTCCGGCAGATGTTAGCCCAAAGAATTCTCCAATAAGCACTTTTAAGTCGATCACAGCAAAAAAATTCCGTGTCAATGATTAATTATAACACTAGAATAAAACTTTTATAGGAATGAGAGAAATAATTTTAGTTGGTAACCAATGTCAAAGATATATTTGCTTAGTTCTTATTAATTATTGTTTAGCTAATACATGAGATTGAACTTGAGTGGCCTGTGTCTACATGAGGCAATCGAGATTGAATACTTTTCATCACCACGATATTTCTTGGCAAAGTGTAACATTAATGACGTAAAAAGAAACTTATATTTATCAAGAACACTGATGGTCAACCTGTGCGTCTCGTCTTATTGTTATCTCGCGACAAGTTATGAATTCAATAATTCCGTTGCACAATTTGAAAATTTTATCCCTGAGGTTATGAAACGTTGAAAGACAGTTATAAAATATGACTTGCGAAAACAATTCGAGACAAAACAAGAAATTGCGAGCTCGCTCATAAATGATTAACAAGTTGAAACCTGCATTATATATTAATGCGCGTTGGGCAGACTTGGCGACATTTCCCAACAATTAGGCAATAATGTTAATATGGCAGACTTGATGATGTTTGAAGGGCAAAATATTTTTTGTCACAAAATACACAGTGGTTATTAAATAATAATTATTATGATTGTTTTTTCCAAAATTTTGTATGTAAATGCTTAGAGGTACATGTAAAACTCAACTCAAAATGCATTGAAAAATATCCCGTATATGTACAAAAATTTGCTGTATTTTGCGACTTTTTTGAACATGTAAGAGAGGCATTGATGATAATACATCGCTAGCGTGACTGCCAGATCAATGTAACAGTTGAAATAATATATAACAGTGAGTGACAGAGAGCGCATTTTCTCGTCGACGAAAACGTGAAGTCACGGACGGACATGACGAGCGAGTCACGGACGGACATGACTAGCACAATGGCGCCTTTTTTTCATAAATGAGAAACAGCGCTAAAAAATACATCATATGAATTTCCCGTTAAGGATTAACTTTTACGTCTCGTTCTGCCTATTTACGCTTCGATAAATTCCGCCTCATTATGATTTTAAATTTCGGGAAATTCTGAAGCGCCTGTTTTGTCCGCGATATCTCGAGTCATATCTGTACTTTCCGGGATTTTCAACAAAATTATATATTTTTGTCACGATTTTTATCACTACTCGAGACTTAGATTCCAAGATTTTCTTGTTTCGAATATAAATAATATACATATAAAAATTACTTTTTAAAGACAACACTTCTAAAGAATCCAGTGTCAACAATGTTAGAGATGAACAATGAATTTCTTATTTCATTTTCGTATATTAAAAAAATTAATTTGTCAATTTGTAATATATAAATTTCTTTTTCAAAATTATTTATTCTGTCAATTGATTCATGATTGCCTCCGACTACTAACAGGTGTGCAAAATTTCAGATCAATTGGACAGGTAAAAGTTTGTCAAATATCAGTTATAAGATTTGTAGGTGACAAAATTATTTTTTCCGTTTTTTTAATATTGAAATTTTTTTCTTAAAATTATTTATTATGTCATTTGATTCATGCATTGTCTCCAATACGCAAGTGTGCAAAATTTCATATCAATTGGACGGGTAAAAGTGTGTTAAATATCAATCATAAGATTTGTAGCTGACAAAATTATTTTTTCATTTTTTTATTAAAAATTTTTTTATTCTCAAAGTTATTTATTTTGTCATTTGATTCATGCATTGTCTCCAACATTACGCAAGTGTGCAAAATTTCAGAACGATAGGATAAGTAGAAGTGTATTAAATTTCGATTACAAGATTTGTAGCAGACAGACAACCAGACAAACAAGAAGTGAAGTTAAAGAGAAGTGTTGTAAAAATGAAGCGATCCAGATATTTAATTGATGTTTACCATCCATCAGGTCAAAACCGAAATTATGTCGTGAAAGTCAACCTCTAAAATTTTAACACCTTAAATCCCTACATGCTCTTCTGATGTATCTTCGACGTCAACAATAGACACTGTAATTTATTTAAAATTGTATTGTTCGTAAACAAGACAAAATATAAGGAACTTATTGTTTTATAAATAATCTTCAAACACTTCCTATTATTGACTCACAATTCTGCTGGTGGGATCAATGCCATTACGTTGAGTAGTTCATCGGCTGTGAAGCCGTACATGAGATACGTGGCGTAATTGAGAAGCAAGGTCGCCCGTGCAGTCGCCTCGAGTCTTCCTGTAGCCATTGCCGCTGCGACTTCGTGGATGAGACCAGCTACTCGTTGCTAGAGATTTCGGTAATAATGATCATTAAAAACATTTAAGGAGCAATATGGTCCATCATTTTAATAATATTGTAGCATTAAAAGGAACATTATGGCAAATGGGCTCTCAAAAAAGTCCTTAGCGCACTGCCATCAAGCTTGGTGGATACTCCACTCGCTAGTTAGAGTTATTCTTGGTTTGGTTATTTTTCCGATTATCAGCCAAATATTGACTTTATGACGAGGGTTGAGCTGGCCGAGTCATACCGAGCCTAATAGTTGCCCTATAGAGCCGCACTTCAAGCTCTGGGTCAATAATATCACTTTTGCCCAATTAGTTTTAGAATGATTTGAAATAAATTGTGTACACCCTCTGTATTTTCGGACAGAAGGTTTTGTATAATCTGCTGAGTATCATACATTCTAAAACTAATTCTTCTCTCAGTATTCGGAAAAAATGGGGCCTTTTGCACATACCTCATTCTTCTTTTGACCAGCAGCATCCACGGAGGCTCCAGTTATTTCCTGTATTGTCTTTTTCTGTGAAGGTAAAAATGTGTATTTTGAAAAATAAATTTTTCAAAAATGAACTATTGTTATCATCGTCTTACGTCACAGCATCCTCACCTTTTTCATCTCAGTTATTTAAACTTGAAATGAAATGCCAGCTGCGGGGAAAATAAAAATTTCGAACATGAACTGCAAGAAATGGGCATGATAACTCACCAGGCTGCAAGCGATGGTTGAGACTAATTTAAATGAGACTAATTTAAAGCTGATATGTCTTCATTTTAATATTATTATAATAAGTTATATTCTAAGGAGCTTTTCAATAACCTTGCCTAATTATTCCTGTAAAATATTATTGTACAAGTATTATTGTCATAAATAACATAGTGTTATATTATTATTATATTATATTAATATAGGAGATAGTGTAGCGTACCATGCTGCCAGGTCGTGCCCACTTGTAGGCAGAGACATAGTCTTCTGTGTATGGGACGGTGAGGGTGTACGTCATTTGTGTGTCTTCAACACAAGTCCTGCGCGAACAGTCTTGTGGAGTCGATGGTAGAGCCTCCACAGAAACCAGCGCCAATTTCTGTTACATTTAAAACACGGTGTAAGGTACAAAATGTTGATAATAATTGATATTCATCTGAGATAATGTAGAGAGATGGATAAAAATTATATTTTTATAAAAAGCGAAAGGTAACTTCTTAATAATACAAGAGTTTAATAAAAATAAATGTCCAATAAATTTTCGTTTAATATAAGCTGAGGTCAGGGGTGCAGAACCTTTCATTAATCGTGTGTAAAATATCGTTAGGAACTTACATGAGGGCTCAAATTTAAAGATGAATATGAGGTCGTGTCTCAATTAATCTGAATTTTTCTTGGGGAACTTTCGTATAAATGTCGTTCAAATAGCATCAAGTTTCTGGAAGCTGCCCGATTTCTCGTAATTATTCGATTTGAGGATATGCATTTATAAATCTTTTGTTCAATCACGTTCGTATTAAAGATCATTCTATCAAATTGCTCTGCATATTGGCGTTTACATGGGCTCGAAATAACAATTATTTGTTACGCTCTGGAAATATCACGGCTGATCGAAGAATTCCTTGTGTGCACGCATGCGTATCAATTGACATTTATGCGTATCAATTGACATTCATGGGTATCAATTGACATTCATGCGTATCAATTGAAATTTATGCATCACAAGCTTAATTTATGCGTATCAATTTGCATTGATGCGTATCAATTGACATTCATTATTGCTTTTCTCGCACCTGCCAGGTGACGGTCTGCAAATGTTCAGTCTCATAACCGAAGGGACTGACGACGATGGCTCCCCTGACTTTGGCTTTCTCGAGCCGCATGCCGCTGCGGTCGCCCCTGATGTAGAAAATGCCGTTGCTGCTGCGGGAGTACAGGTTCTCGCACTGATCTTCTCCCAGGTTGCAGCTGCTGCCCATCGTGTGCTGAAGTGGCGATTTTCACGTACAAAAAATCTTACGAAATTGCAGTCACCAAGTGTAAAATTAAAAAAAAAGTCAGACAAGATTTCATTCGCATCAGAGCTAAATTATAAATTTTTGCTTCATGATATGTATTAATTTTTTAGAATTTAACGCATCAAATTGTTACTTAATATAAGTATGAAAAACGCAATGATTTTGTCTGATATTTTCTTTACATCTGAATACTATTCTCTCCAAATCATATGAAAGGGTAACTGTTTATATTTAGTACAGAAATGTCGGCGCTGAAGCTTGAAGTTCAAAAATATTCGACTTTGTGCAATTTAACATAAGAATATACTTATGATTTTTCTATAATTAAATTCTCTATTTCGAAACTGTCTTCATGTGCATCTGTTCTGAGTCGTGTTATATGAGTAAGACAATCAAAGAGTAATATCATGTTAAATTTAATGACTGTATGCAATTGAAACTTTGGTCAATGCTCAAACAGGTATTGAGAAATTGCATTTGGAAAAGCCAGAGATATCAAAATACCGGAGAATTTACATGAATTCATAAAATGTGGGGTGTGGCCGAACTCGGTTGCTGGTTCGTACGCCAACGCGAACGCTAGGCAGCAGGTGCATATGACAATTATTATATAAGACAAAGAATACTTGAAGTTGAAAGAATGACATTGTAATTTCGAAAAAGGAGGCGAATATACCCCATTTGAGCGTTAATATTAAAATGCCAGCTCTTTCACCTGGTGCTCCACTCGGTCGACGCATTCCTCGAGGTTTACGGACCGGACTACGCGAGTGACAGTTCGGGTAATCCTTGGCAGATCGCATCTGGTGAGGGGCGAGGTCCCCGAGGTCGTGGATGTCTTCCTACCACTGACAGAGCGAGCCTTCCTGCCTGGGGGTAATTTAGCTACTAGAGGAGCAGCGCAGGTGTTGTTCAGCTGCCGGTCTCCGGTGATGTGTTCGCGTACGAACTGCGAATATTGCGCCAATGCCACGCCGGACAGTTTGTGTTCCGTGTACCTGTGGAGTTGAAGTAGGATTAAGTACATTGTTAATTCAACGCGGAAGTTATTGTACACATTTTGGTGTGCTAATTTTTTCCAGATTTTCACAAATAATAGTAGGAAACGAAGAAAAATTGCTCAATCTTTCAGGTCCCAACTGACGTTGTCTTGCAGGTCCCCATTACGGTTTGCTCAAAGTCGTTGTAGGCTCCAGCGCGCGTGCCGTTGTGGGTACCAAAGAAAGTATTGCGCAGGGGATAAATGTTGAACAAACCAACGATGCTTTTATAGAAGTTCAGCACCCATGCCTTCTCGCCAGCGTGGTGCACGAAGTGGCCTCGCTAAAAAATATTCAATACCTTATTAGCTTTCGGATTCTAAACGTAGAAATCAAGAGGCATGTGAATTTCGCACTTTAATTTCCTGACCAAAAATATTCAATACTTTATTAGTTTTCGTATTCTAACAATAGAAATCATAAGGTATTTGAATTTTGCACTTTAATTTCCTGACCGAGCATTCGTTGTCAAATTAGATATTTTCTATTCGAAGCATCTTTTCTAATAAATTACTCGGCGTTCAAATATCAAATGTTTTTTTCTCGGTGTGACGGTTGCCAATAATCATGAAACTGTAGGTACATAATCAAAAAATACTTCCTAAATTTGATACCGTATATCGAATAACGTTAGTGAGGTGCGTTAGAAATAAGCCATTCTTAGGCCGAGCCCGAAATCTCTAGCATGGAAAGTTAAATATATGGGTAGTTAGAAAACTAAATGAACAAATAAATTAAATTGATTAGAATTAATATAATTTTGATTAAACTTGTTATGCACATCAATTTGTTTCAATGTTTAGATTTTAATCCTTTAAGAGACGTCTACCTGATGAGAATTAACTCACTTCGTTGATACCGAACGCATGTCGGCCCAATAGTGACGCAGGTTCTTCAAAAGCTGCGATGTATTCATGATCAGAAGTGCATTCCCGACAGACGTGACAGTCGGAATATTCGACGTCTTCCAGCTGACAGAGCATCAGATAAGAAACTTTATTAGAACTGGATTTGTGCTGTAGTATTCGTGCTGTAGTAGTAGTAGTGCTGTAGTATTCAATCTGTTCAATATTCAAGTTTCTCTAAAACTGCCGTAGAATTTATCGGGAATTTTAGTTAAATTTATATTATAACAGCGGGGCACTCATGAGATATTTTGAGAAATTGCCTCCCTCTCTTCAATTTAATTTTTCATTTCTCCTTCAAGCGAGCAATAGGACTTAACTCACTTTAAAAGCAACGGTAGTGGCTGACGTAACGTAGACCCTGAGGTTGGCCCTGATGCTCGACTTGGCGCTCTGATGGCGGTTGATTTCTGGTATTCCAGCGGAGACTTTGGCGCGGTAGTGGTACAGGTACTGCAGCGGGTACTGCAGTCCCGCGCATGTGCCTGGCACGCAGTAGATAATGGAAAAATTATTATTAAGCTATAAACTAAGTGGTACATATGTACCATATAGTGGTACATATGTAGCATACAGTGGTACATATGTACCATATAGTGGTACAGCGGACAATGCAGCCCCTCACAGGGGCATGGCAGAGGGAAGAAAATTTTGAGGTTAACTTATGACATCGAGAGACTAAAATTATGGCAGAATATGTCAAAAAAGTCTGGCAGAATTATGTTCAAGAATCTGGCAGAAGGTAAACATAATGTAATAAAAATTGTGACGAAAAAAAGAAATATGTGGGGGAAATGTGTTCTGTGCCAAGGATTTATTTACCACGTCAATTATCAACCTCGCTCAAGAGTTTTTTCTATTTTCATTGCCAGTTCAGAAGCAATATTTACGTTTCTTTTTATTTATCCTTGATGAAATTCTACGTAATTATTCTATTCAAATTACTACTTCCAAAACGTACACCCGTAACAATTATAATGTAATTTTGAAAGAAGAACCTCAAAAAATATTGAACAAAAATGTGAGTATATTTAGAAGTTTCCCGTTTTATACTTCACAATGGGTTCATACTGTAAACCTTTTTTAATTTCCGCTTAAAAGCCTGTCATCGAGCCTGACGGAATCAGAGATCACTGCACAGTTCAGTCTGTACAGCCCGACGCAAAAGGTTAGCCCCACCCCTTTAAAACATCATAACACATCGAGTTTTGCCAGTTTTAACGTGCAAATGGTGGCAAACGATTTGTCTTGCGCTCTGCAATCTATAGCAGGTGAAATTTGGTGAAAAAGTTAATTACTGGCGGAAAAATCAAGCGGTTCGTGTTTTTGCACCGACGCAAAAGGTTAGCCCCACTTTGCAAGTTTGGCGCTCTTTCGGACAGGACGCAGCGTAGACTCGCTGCAAAGGGTGCGTTCATAGCGTAGTAGTTGTGCACGAATAAATTGAATAAATTGAATAAATTGAATAAATTGGATGCATTGAATAAATTGAATAAACTGAATAAATTGAATAATAAAATGTATCAAATAAATTAAATTTATTCACACAAATTCAATAAATTAAATAAATCAAGTAAATTAGATAAATGAAATAAATTTAGTATATTAAATAAATTGAATAAACGAAACAATTTAAATAAATTAAGAAATAAATAAATTAGAGACATAATTGAATGAATTAGGGCTATTTTTATTCTAAATTTAGCTTTCAACTTATATTAATATTACCATGCATTGCTTGCAAGTAGTCAACGAATCTCCTGTCTCCGTCTTTGAAAATAAATAATATAATTTAGAAATTTTTGTAACGATTCGATTGTAAGATCAACCCTGCGCCTTAAATGAACTGCTTGTCGTGCGATGTGTCTTGTTCGAGTCCCGTGTCATACTTCATGAGTTAGTGCAATGCTTGTCGTGCGATGTGTCTTGTTCGAGTCCCGTGTCATACTTCATGAGTTAGTGCAATGATCGAAAAATCAAGTTTCCAATTCTCAGCATTTGCGAGAATACATTTTTTTCAGGTCGAACATCTTCCTATCTAAAAGAAGTTGCGCTGCTATAAATGTATATTCCTGTTATATATCAGGTAGGGATTTAGCGTATCTTATACTCAGAGTTATGAGTGAAAGTCCGTATTGGTGATAAATTTTATAATAGTCAAAATAAGAACCTGTAATTACTAATTTGTTTTCTCGTTATTTTCTGCGAAATTATACCGGTGAGTTATTAAATGTTTGGTTATTAAAGTTATTAAATGCTTTTAAATTAGTGTTACCCATACAACTTGTCAGTTAATATTTGTTCACTCAAGTGCCAGCGCGAGCAGCAAATATTAAATTTTGCGGCACTAAATTCTCCCTTTGATTCTAAATAACTATAAATCTAAACAAAAACACACTGAGCCCTGATTACATAAGTCATCATTGAGTCATCATTGGAGGAGTTGAGTTCTGACCGTGATCGAGGACGCACGTACCTGGTTGTGGGTCCCAACTTTCTCACTTTTTACTTTGCCGGTTTGACTTATCTCTCGAAATTGTACCGAAACGATTTCAGTGAAAGGTTAAATTTTAGTGCAGTTCAGTAAGAATTGTGCGAACAGTGAAAAATACGGCTAGTACAAGTGCTTTATTCCCAACAAATGCCAGTGCATGAATCAAGGGAAAGTTTGTAGCTTCTTGCGAACCCTCGGCGACCGCCTGTAAACCGGAGAACAGCGGTGCCTTGAGACGCTCAGGCCTCGTTTTCCTAGACCCTCCCCACCCTCTTGGCCCCTACACCTCCCCCTCTCCACCCGCCACACGCGTCGATCCTTTGATTCCCCTAGACGCCCCTGTCTTTCCCTCGCCAGCTGCAGCTCAGCTTTTCCTCCAGCCGAAACTTTCGAGGGAACTTTACTCAACTCAACTCAGTTTTGTATGTTTCTCCGTCCTTTTCCGTATTTTTCTCTGTCCTTTTCCCCGTTCAAGAGATCTAGTTCGTGCATTTAATAATGGCTGGACAGAAAATAAAAAGATAGTCGAAAAGCCCTCTACGGCCTCTAGAATAAAAAAATAGAACCAAATCAGCCCAGCTAAAGATGGAAGTTTGCAAGTACTGCAAAGAGATCTCTCTGAGCGATGTCCAGACGGTCACCTGTGAACGATGCGAAGATTTCATTTGTATCAGCTGTTCGAAGTTGAGCGCTATGGAGTACTCATTTCTCCAGAAATGTAAATTGCTTCATTTTTTTCGCCGTGATTGCGAAAAACCAACTCTTGGTGCTCGAAAAAGAGAGGAGTCAGTGGAAGAGCACGGCAATGAGTCGAAATTGTTGAGTGATGTAGTAAACTCCTTGAGTGAGATAGTAAACTCCTTGAGTGATGTAGTAAACTCCTTGAGAGTAAACTCCTTGAGTGCGCTCGCTGAGTGACAAACTGAGCTCGCTATGCAATGAGCTGACTGAAGTGAAGGCTCAATTGAAAAATACGGAAGAAATGGAAGTATAGAACAAGACAGCTGATTTATCTGAAGTCGCTAGGGAAAGTTCACGTGAATTACTTGATAGAGAACGTAGTAAGGTTAACCTGGTCTGGTTTGGGATTCCTGAAAGTAACGCATCTGATGCGAAGGACCGAGTGATGGATGACGCGACATTTGTTGTAGATTGTTGCAGCAAAGTACTCAACACATAGATTGATGTTATATCTTGCAAGAGGCTACGCTCGAAGGATGCTGCTGCCAACACCTTCAGACCTCTGCTGGTGACTGTAAAGGATTCTGCTCAGGTCTGGAGCGTGCTAAAAACAGCGAGAAAACTTGGAGAATCCGCTGATTACAAGTCGGTTTCTGTAAAGAAAGATTCCACCCCTTATAAAGGGTGGTTTTTCGCAAGAAGTGGCAGGAGAGAATCAGGTGATGCACGGAAAATCAGGTTAATCACTTCCAAGCTGCCAAGACAACACCGGCTGCTCACGGACAGTCAGAGGAGATGGAGGACAAGTAATTAGTAGGAATGATGTCCGTAGATCAGGGCCTGTATATAATGTAGGAAGCAACCGCATACATCAAAGTGAAAGTGTACAAAAAGTTGTAGAATGTTTTTACACGAACTGGGATTCAATTTTGAACAAAAAAGTGAACTGTTAACTGTGATCGCAAACGAGTGTATAGACATTATTTGTATTACAGAAACGCTCCCTAAAAATTACGGGGGGAAAATTGTACCTGTTGAAATTCAGCTGCCAGATTTTGATTGTTTTCATAACTTAAATGAAGAGCAGTGCAGTAGAGGTGTAGCTATGTGGGTTAGAACCTCTTATGGAGCCCAGCAAGTTAAGTTATTTGCAGAGCATCAATCGGCTAGAGAATCAGTGTGGTGCGAACTTACTCTAAAAGGCACAGATAGCCTCCTCATAGGGGTCATTTACAGAACACCTAACAGCTCCTCTGATAACAATAAAGTACTAAACAGCCTTTTACCGAGCATGTAATTCAGCAGGTCGCATACCTTGATCATTGGTGACTTTAACCGTCAAGAAATAAACTGGGCAGATGAATCTTCTCCAAGAAATGGGAATCACCCAGCATCCTTGTTCTTGGAGTATGTGCGTGACTCATTTTTAATCCAGAACATCACCAAGCCAACCCATTTCAGGGGTAAACAGACCCCAAATATTCTAGATCTTGTGTTTACTAGGGAAGAATCAATGATAGATGAGCTTCGCCACGAGGCTCCGTTGGTCAAAAGCCACCACCAATCATTGTTTTTCAATATTAAGTGTTGTGCAGAAAAGACGCTTCGGAAGCGTGAACGTTTGAACTTTGCGAAGGGCGACTATGATAAACTCCGTGAAACGGTGAATGCGGTGAATATTTCGGACTGTATTAAGGACATGAGTGTGGCTGATTCATGGTCGTTTTTCAAAGACACGGTTATGTCTGCAGTTGATGCCTGTTTACCCAAGATTACGCTTGGAGGAGTCAAAAAGTCCCAGTGGATGAACAGTGCAGTTAAGACTCAGCTAAAGACCAAGAAAGAAGCCTACAAGCGTTATTTACGAACTCGCAGCGAGTCTGATTATAACCTGTATGCCAGAGCTCGAAATCAAGCTAAAAAAGTTTGTCGCACTGCAGTGAAAAACTACGAAAAAATATTGCTAAAAATGCAAAAAAAGAATCCGAAAGCCTTCTTTTTGTACGCTAGTTCGAAGTGTAAGTCAAAGGACGGTACATCTGATTTGAAAGTAGACCAACAAAAGATTTCCTGTGATGAGGGCAAGGCTAACGTTCTTAAACAGTTCTTCAGCAGTGTGTTCACAGGTGAGGACGTGAACAGTATTCCTGATATTGAGGAGCGCCCAGTCGGCTCAAAGTTACCATGTTTTGAAATACACGAAGAAGAGGTTCTCAAGCGCCTGGGAGCTCTAAATCCCGACAAGTCATGTGGACCAGACGGCTTACATCCCAGATTGCTCAAAGAATTAGCAACCGTTCTGGCCGGCCC